CCAGGGAAAGGAGAGAATCTGATTTCCAGAGTTACTACATTATTAGATTCAGATGTTCAGTTTTCAACGTAAAAAGTCACAAGGCATATAAAGAAACCTGAAAATGTGGCCTATTCAAAGGAAAAAAAACATCATCAACAGAAACTGTCCCTTAAAAAGCCCTAATGGCAGATATATTAAACAAAGACTATAGACCAATAGTCTTAAAGATGCTCAGAGAACTGAAGATAGATGTGGAGGAAGTCAAGAAACCAATGTATAAACAAAATGTTATTCTTCAATCATGTATTTTGCTATATTTCATTGGTATATGTTGTTCTTTTCATTGCTTTCTGAGTAGTTTATAATTTTAGTTTTGATTTCTTCTTTAAGGGTTATCTATAAGTGGGTTTCTTAATTTCTTTGCTACCTAGTTGCCCTTGTGCTAAGTTTTCATGGTAGAACAATAGCTTGCTTATCATATTCCTTGAGACTGCCATAAATAATGCAGTACACAATAAGATGAAAGAAAATAAAATCTAATTCTTAGCATGACCCCAATACTTTAGTCTTATCTCCCTATGTATCTGATTTTCCAAATTCCATCTGAACAGCTATGTATTTTCGTTACTCCAAGCTTTATGTGTGTTGTTTATCCAACCTAGAAGATCATCTCCATCATGAAAGTCGTTGTCTTTTTATTTATTTATTTATTTCAAGAGACAAAAAGCATGCCTGCAAGCAGGGGAGGGTCACAGAGAGAGAGAATCCCAAGCAAGCTTTGTACTGTCAGCACAGAGCCTGATGCAGGGCTTGATCCCACAAACTGTGAGAGCATGATCTGAGCCAAAATCAAGAGTCAAATGCTTAACCAACTGAACCACCCAAGCACCCTTGGAAATCCTTTTGTCTTGAGACTCAGTTCAGATGTTCCCTATTTCATGAAATCTTGCCAGGTTCTCCAGCCAGGATTCCTTTTGCTTTTTAGGTTCTGTTGAATATCTTCATTTTGCCCTTCAAGATGAATTTTTCAACCTTTTCCATCTTATTCTCTGCCCCAAGGGTGACCTTTTGGATTAAAAAATGGACTCCCTTAACTTCTGGCTTGAGGTTGGCATTGAATAATGGAAAACCACAGCAGGACATCAGAGGGGGAGATTTCTTCCCACAGGGTTGTCTTGGTCTGGCCTCATCAGTTTGTGTTTTTGGCCAGGGGGAGGGCAGGTGTCTTTCATCATCTTTATATTTGTTTTGGAGGTAGAATTGCCATAAAATAGTTTATTAGTATCAGATATACACCATAGTGATTTGACAGTTATATACATTATGAAATGCTCACCACCATAAGTATAATTACCATCTGTTACCATATGAAGTTATTACAGTGTTACTAACTGTATTCCCTGTGCTATACTTTGCATCCCTGTAGCTTATTTTATAAATAGAAATTTGTACTTTTACATCTCCTCACTTATTTCAACCATCCCCTAAACCCTCTTCCTTCTGACAACTACCAATTCTGTTTTAGGAGTCTATTTCTGCTTTTTGTTTGTTTATTTGTTTGTTTCTTAGATTTTACATATGAGAGAAATCATGGTATTTTTTTTTTTTTCTGTCTGACTTAGTTCATTTAGCATAATACCTTCTGGGTCTATTCATGATGCTGCAAATGGCAAGATTTCATTCTTTTTATGGCTGAGTAATATTCCATTGTATAATATATATCATGTATTTATTTATATATTGATGGGCACAGGTTACTTCCATATCTTGGCTATTGTAAATAATGCTACAGTGAACATAGATGTTTATTTATCTCTTGGAATTAGGTATTTTCATTTTATGAGTAAGTATGCAGAAGTAGAATTACAGGATCATAGGATATTTCTATTTTTAATATTTTGAGAATCTCCAGACCTTTTTGCACAGGGACTCCACACATACTCCCACCAGCAGTGCACTATGCATCCTTTTTTCCACATCCTCACCAAAACTCGTTATTTCTGGTCTTTTTGACACTAGCCATTTTGACTGGTGTGAGGTGATAACATTTTTGCACTGCTGGTAGGAATGCAAACTGGTACAGGCACTCTGGAAAACAGTACAGAGGTTTGTCAAAAAATTAAAAATAAGAACTACCCTGTGATCCAGCAATTGCACTAGGTATTTATCCAAGGGATATAGGTATGCTGTTTTGAAGGGGCACACGCCCCCCAATGTTTATAGCAGCGCTATCGACAGTAGCCTAAATATGAAAAGAGCCCAAATGTCCATCGATGGATGAATGGATAAAGAAGATGTGGTATATTAATGCAATGGAGTATCCCTTGGCAATCAAAAAGAATGAAATCTTGCCATTTGCAACAATGTGGATGGAACTAGAGGGTATTATGCTAAGCAAAATTAGTCAGAGAAAGACAAATATCATTATGACTTCACTCATATGTGGAATTTAAGATATAAAACAGATTAACATAAGGGAAGAGAAGCAAAAATAATATAAAAAAAAGAGAAGGGGACAAATCATAAGAGACTCTTAAATATAGAGAACAAACAGAAGATGGCCGGAGGGGTTTTGGGTGGGGGGATGGGCTAAATGGGCAAGAGACATTAAGGAGGACACTTGTTGGGATGAGCACTGGGTGTTATATGTAGAGGATGAATCACTGGATTCTACTTCTGAAATCATTATCACTATATGCTAGCTTGGATGTAAATTAGAAAAATTTTAAAAAGAAAAAAAAAGAAAGTGATCCAGTTTAATTCTTTTGCATGTAGCCATCCATCTGGTCTAATGTGTCATACAAGGCCAATGTTTTCTTACTGATTTTCTGTGTGTATGATCTATCCGTTGATGTAAATAGGCTGTTACAATGTTACATTGTATATTACTTTTAACATATTACTGTCGACTTCTTCCTTTATGTCTTAATATTTGTGTTACATATTTAGGTGGCCCTGTGCATAGATGTCTATAAGTGTTATATCCTCTTATTGGATTGATCCCTTTATCACTATGTAATATTGTTCTTTGTGTATTGTTACAGTCTTTGTTTTAAAAGTCTTTTTTGTCTGATGTAAGTATTGCTCCCCCAGCTTTTATTTCTTTTTTTCAAGTAGGCTTCATGCCCAGCATGGAGCCCAATGTGGGACTTGAACTCATGGCCCTGAGATCAAGACCTGAGCTGAGATCAAGAGTCGAAAGCTTAGCTGACTGAGTCACCCAGGTGCCTCTCTCTTCCTGCTTTTAAGATTGTCTCTTTATATTTTGTTTTTGACATTTTAATTATTATGTCTCTTGGTGTGGATCTCCTTGGGTTCATCTTGTTTTGGGCTTTCTTTGCCTCTTAGACCTAGATGTCTGTTTTCTTATCCAGGTTAAGGAAGTTTTCAGCTTTATTTCTTCAAATAAATTTTCTGTCCCTGTCTCTCTTTCTTCTTCTTGGACTCATATAATGCAAATGTTAGTATGCTTGTTGTTATTTTGGAGATCCCTTAACTTATTCTTAGGTGCTTTTTAAAAATCTCTGTTTCATTGATGAGGAAACAAGTAAGGTTACTTGCCAAGGAGCCAGGCTTTGAACCTAGAAAATTCCAAAGCCTGTGTTCTTTTTTTTTTTTAATAATTTTTTTAAATGTTTATTTTTGAGAGAGAGAGAAAGAGACAGAAAATGAGCAGGGGATGGGAAAAGAGAGAGGGAGACACAGAATATGAAGCAGGCTCCAGGTTCCAAGCTTAACAGCACAGAGCCTGATGTGGGGCTCAAACTCACAAACTGTGAGATCATGACCTGAACTGAAGTTGAACGCTCAACTGACTGAGCCACCCAGACACCTCCCCAAAGCCTCTGCTCTTAATAATTAAACTATAGGTAGCTATTTAAAGGAAAAGAAATCATTTTAAGAACTTTACCCAACACCAGGCCCTATTAAAAAATATATTTTACATGAATCCTCTGTCTTTAAAGAACAAGCTCCACCTCTACTTTTCTATACTACTACCACAAGTTTGGAGAGAGGATGGGTCAATAGATCCACAAATAGTATCAACCTTACCCCAACCTTTCTATGTGTTAAGAAGTGTAAGTACAATTCTGGGATTTTTTTTTTTAAAGTTTTAATTTTCATTCCAGTTAGTTAACATACAGTATTATGTTAGTTTCAGGTGTGCAGTATAGTGATTGAATAATTCCGTATATCACTACTCTGGATTATTTTTTAAAATTTCTTTTAAGGTTTTATTTATTTAAGTTATCCCTACACCCAATATGGGATTGAACTTAGAACCCTGAGATTAAGAGTCACTCTCTCTTCCCACTGAGCCAACCTGGCACTCCTGGGTTATTTTTTTAAGTTTGTTTGTTTGTTTATTTATTTAAACTTTTTTTTTTTAATATTTTATTTATTTCTAGGAGAGCAAGAGAGAGACAGCGTGAGCAGGGGAGGGTCAGAGAGAGAGGGAGTCACAGACAGAAACAGGCTCCAGGCTCTGAGCTGGCAGTCAGCACAGAGCCCGACGCGGGGCTTGAACCCACGAACCGCGAGATCATGACCTAAGCGAAAGTCAGACGCTTAACCGACTAAGCCACCCAGGCGCCCCAAGTTTATTTATTTATTTTGATAGAGAGGGAGGCAGGCAATTCCAAGTAGGCTCTGCACCATCCACGTGGAGCCCGATGCAAGGATCAAACTTCCGAGCCATGAGATCATGACCTGAGACAAAATCAAAGATGAACACAACTGACTGAGCCTCCCAGTCACCCCACCCCTGGGTATTTTTAATCTAAAAATATTATAAAGTATTTCAAGCACACGTGACTATTAATTCCCTATAATTTTACAAGAATGAATTCACTTTCAGAAAAAGATTACTGGGGAAAATTTATTCATTCAAATGTGTTCTTACGTGCTTACTGTATGTTGGACACGAGGTTGGACATTGAAAATTTTAAAATGATATGGTCTCTCAATCTCCTATGGGAAGGACTATAGTGACATGTTCTCTACTTTCGTTGTTATAGCTGTTCCAGGATTTGGGGACTGAAGTACTGTCTGGAGCCGCCAAAGGGTACAACATATGCCTTTTTGCCTATGGACAGACAGGTTCTGGGAAGACTTACACCATGCTGGGGACCCCAGTGAGTATTGGTGTTGGAATATGTCTCTTTCTGTTGCCACAGCAAGCTTGAATCTCACATGTCCTTGCTACTGAGGGATAGAATATGAATTTCACAATCAAATTTAACAAGATTTAATGGGTTGTCTTCTGTATTAAGAATGGATTTCTCAGCACTTGACTCACTCACTCAGTGAACTTTGAATAATTAGCCCCTCCTTATTAAAATCCTGAAGAACCTTAGAATTTTACAACTCCCTTTGATGAAGTAGACCTTGTCAGTCCTGAATTTCTCATATCATTTCCAATTTCATCGCTTGAAGCTTTTTAATACCTTTGGAGTGGACCAGACACAGACTGACTCTTAAGTGCTGCCTAGGGCTGTGCAGAAATGGGGCTATGTGTTCAATCTGAGTGTTGGAGAGAAGCAGGAGAACCAGCTACTGGGATGGAACTTCAGAAAGTGTGAGGGAATTAGGAGAACTTTGTCATGGAAAATTGGGAGGGTAGAGGTCCTTAAGCAATCCTCTTTGTTTCAAGTTTAGAAGTCCTTTGGTTAGTTGAACTAGTGGGACGGGTAGCAAATAACGCTACACACGAACATTGTCTGGGACCTTATTCCTTCTGAAAGATTACCCCCTAGGGGCATCTGGGTGGCTCAGTCGGTTGAGCTTCTGACTTTGGCTGAGGTTATGATCTCATAGATTGTGAGTTTGAGCCCCAAATTGGGCTTTGTCTGCTTCAGCATGGAGTCTGCTTCAGATTCTCTGTCTCCCTCTCTCTTCCCCTCTCTCATGCATCCACTCTCTGAAAAATAAATATTATTTCTCACACCCTACACAAAAATAAACTCAAAATGTATGAAAGACCTAAACATAACACAGAAAGCCATCAAAATCCTAGAGGAGAAAGCAAGCTAAAACCTCTTCGACCTCAGCGGCAGCAACTTCTTACTCAGCACATCTCTGGAGGCAAGGGAAACAAAAGCAAAAATGAACTACTGTGACCTCATCAAGATAAAAAGCTTCTGCAATGTGAAGGAAACATCAGCAAAACTAAAAGTCAACCAACGGAATAGGAGAAGACATTTGCAAATGACCTATCAGGTAAAGGGTTAGTATCCAAAATCTATAAAGAATTCATCAAACTCAACACCCATAAAACAAATAATCCAGTGAAGAAGTGGGCAAAAGACATGAATAGACACTTTTCCAAAGAAGACATCCAGATGGCTAACAGACACATGAAAAAATGCTCAACATCACTCATCATTAGAGAAATACAGATTAAAACCACAATGAGATACCACTTCACACCAGTCAGAATGGCTAAAATTAACAATTTGCAACAACAGATGTTGGTGAGGATGTGGAGAAAAAGGAACCCTTTTGGACTGCTGGTGGGAATGTAAATTGGTGTAGGAACTCTGGAAAATAGTATGGGGGTTCCTCAAAATTTAAAAATAGAACTACCCTATGACCCAGCAATTGCACTACTAAGTATTTATCCAAAGGATACAGGTGTGCTATTTCAGAGGGGCACATGCACCCCAGTGTCTATGGCAGCACTATTGACAATAGTCAAAGTATGGAAAGAGCCCAAATGTCATTGACAGATGAATGGATAAAGATGTGATACAAACACACACACGCACGCACACACACATGCACAATGGAGTATTCCTCAGCAATCAAAAAGAATGAAATCTTGCCATTTGCAACAATATGGATGGCACTAGAGGGTATTATGGTAAGCAAAATTAGAGAAAGACAAATATCGTATGACTTCACTCATGTGGAATTTAAGATATAAAACAGATGAACATAAGGGAAGGGAAGCAAAAATAATATAAAAACAGGGAGGGTGACAAAACATAAGAGACTCTTAAATATAGAGAACAAACAGAGGGTTGCTGGAGGGGTTGTGGGAGGGGGGATGGGCTAAATGGGTGAGGGGCATTAGAGAAGACACTTGTTGGGATGAGCACTGGGTGTTCTATGTAGAAGATGAATCACTGGATTCTACTGAAATCATTGAAATCATTATTGCAGTATATGGTAATTTGGATGCAAATTAAAAAAAATTTTTTAAAAGGAAAAACAGAGATCCAGCTATTTTTTTCCAGAAATTGGGAAGCTAATCTTAAAATGCATATGCAAATTAAAGGGTCTCAGGACATCCAAAACAGTTTTGAAAAAGAACAGATTTGGAGGTTATGTACTCCTTGACTTCATCATTTACTAGAAAGATAAACTAAACAATATTGTATGGACCTTTTATGAAGACTGACCTATAAATCAATGGAAGAAAATTTAAAAAGTCAAGAAATAAGACTTAAACTTTCCACAGTATGCCAAGACAATCCAATGGGCAAAGAATAGTATTTTCACAAAATGTTGCTGGGACAACTAGACATGCCCATGCAAATGAAAGATGCTGAAACTCTACCTCATAACTACAAATAATTCAAAATTGTTCATAGATATAAATTTAAGTGTTAAAATTACCGTTTTTTTTGAAAAAGAGTAGATCATTGGAATGTTGAATTAGGTGATGACCAGATAAACTACAGCAAAATCAAAGCGCGTCTGGGGCGCCTGAGTGGCTTAGTCGGTTAAGTGTCCGACTTTCGCTTGGGTCATGGTCTCGCGGTTCGTGGGTTCGAGCCCCGCGTCGGGCTCTGTGCTGACTGCCAGCTCAGAGCCTGGAGACTGTTTCAGTCTGTGACTCCCTCTCTCTCTGACCCTCCCCTGCTCATGCTGTCTCTCTCTCTCTCTCTCCTAGAAATAAATAAAAAACATTAAAAAAAAAAATAAACTACAGCAAAATCATAAGTGGCAAGGAAAAAAAACAGATAAATTGGACTTTTTCAAAATTAACATTTTTATGCTAAAAATAATAAAGTAGAAAGACAATCTAAAAAATAAATAAACATAAAAAAACAACATTACCCCTGCTGCCTTGGGCTCAGCTCATTGCTACTATGTCTGTGTTTAGTGTGATTTTATATATTTGAAATTAAAAGAAGAAAATGCCTACTAAACCATGGGTATAAAACCTTTAACCTGTGTACATGTTAATTAATAGTGGGTCTAAGATGAAAAAAGAAGCTACTTTTCCCTAAATGTTTATTTTATTTTATTTTATTTTTTAATTCATTTATTTTGAGAGGGGGCATGGGAGGAGGGGTAGAAAGAGAGGGAGAGAATTTCAATCAGGCTCAGCACTGTCAATGCAGAGCCCACAGTGGGACTGGATCTCATGAACTGTGAGGTCACAACCTGAGCCAAAATCAAGAATCAGATGCTTAACCCATTGAGCCATCCAGAACCTCCCCATGTGTATTTTATTTTTTAAAAATTTTAATGTTTATTTATTTTTGAGAGAGCTTAAACAGGGAAGGGGCAGAGAGAGAGGGAGACAGAAGATTCAAAGCAGGCCCTGTGCTGAAAGCAGTGAGCCCAATGTGGGGCTTGAACTCACGAATTGTGAGATCATGACCTGAGTAAAAGTTGTCACTCGACCAACTGAGCCACCCAGGCACCCCCTAAATGTATATTTTAAATATCCATGTAGTCTAGTTCTGTGTGTGTAGGGATAGAAGTGTTTTGGGAGGATCCACCATGATAAATAGGTTTATCCATGAAGGATGTAGTTTTTATTGCATGAAAGCAGGTACTACCTGATGTTTGTTTAGCTTCTTTAGTTTGTTAGCTTCTCCACTCTTCCTTCTTAAGATGGTGATCTGCCTCTCAGCTGTTACATTCCTCCCATGAGTGTCTCCTGAGAGCACAGGCAAATAGAGTCTTCTACATACTTCAGTGAACCTCCCTAAAATGAAGAGGCTAGCACAGGGAACCCATGTACCCATCCCCCTGCCCACCTTGGTTCCTGGTTGTTGCAGGAGAGCTTCACTGTAAGTGAGCAGTAATGCTTTCCTTTCTTCTCTTCTCTAGGCCTCTGTTGGGTTGACGCCACGGATATGTGAGGTATTTACTCTATTTTGACTAGATCCTCTCAAAGTACACCTCCTTTGTACTCTCCCTTCAGTGAAACTCCAACCCTCTGGTTTGTGCAGGGTCTCTTCATCAGGGAGGAAGACTATGCCCCACTGCCTTCCTCATGTAGGATAAAAGTAAGGTAAGAACCTGTAAGGCCCTGGAGCCTAAGATACTTCCATTTCCACTCCAAATTCTAGCATGTCCGCTGTCCTCTATTTGCTTCAAGAGTTATCCAGAGGAATGGAGAATAGCCACAGCAGAAATATTTTGCAGTATAGGGCCATGAGAAACATACTTAGATCTTTGGGTTGCAGGAAACTTAATTTCTGTCCCCAGTCTTAACAAACAGGTGTTTCCTGTGGACCAGCTTGCCCTAGTTGTCTGGTTTCCTTTTCTTCACTTTCCTTAGAGTTTAACACCAGCTGTTGGAATTTCTCTTCCAGCTCCAGTAGGTTGTTCTTTGGATCATTAGTTCCTAAGCTCTAGTTCCAAGACAGTGCTGACTACTACCATATGAAGTTTTAACCAGCCTGTAGCAAGAATGTTGGTGCAAGGTTACCAATTGGCCCTAATTTTTTGTATTCTGTTTTTTTGGTGTTCAATGTCCTTTTTAAGAAACATGAGATGTAATTCATATACCATAAAATTCATGCTTCCAAAGTGTATAGTGCAGTGATTTTTAAAATATTTACAAGGTTGTTCAGTCATCCTTACTAATTCCAGAATATTTTCATCACCCCAAAAAGAATAAATGCTCTTTTTAAAATTTAAATGATAGTGAACATTATTTACAGATTTTTTAAGTTGGCAAAGTAAAATTTGTAGGCATGTATATGTGTGTCTGTGAGCATGTACATATATATTAAATGTGAAATCTGGGAACCACTATTCTGAGAGACATCTGGGATTCCTGTGTCCAAATCTGGGAATGTTAAGACGAAACAGTTTATCAGAAGAACGTGTATAGGGTTCAGCTCTGAGCGAGAGCCTTTTTTTCCTAGTCACTGGCTTCACAGGCAAACATCTATGTTCTGATGAGGAAGACCTTTCTGTGAGAAGTTTGTTTTCCTACTTGACAAAATCTTTGCTGATTTTAATTAAGAATTATAGCTATTTTGTTGTTATTATTTTGAAGATTTTAAATAATCTGTACATCCAACCATGGGGCTCGATCTCACAACCCCAAGATCCAGAGTAGTATACTCCAGCAGCTGAGCCAGCCAGATGCCCAGCTATGTTATTATTTTGAAAAGGAATGAAATGCTAATAGATAGCTATAAGATAGAGCATATGTTAACCAGAATCACAGTGTATAAAACAGGTGAAATGAGAATTGTCCTACTTAAATTAGGGGTAGGGGCAGGAATATTTCTCATTTAGCTGTCCTCATTGCTCAACAGTGGCTCTCGAGATGTCATCACAGAACAATAAGAGCTCAAAGATCATGTTTGAAAATCACTTAAGAAAGAAGCCTGTAGGGGCACCTGGGTGGCTCAGTCAGCTAAGCTTCCGACTTTAGCTCAGGTCATGATATTGCGGTTCGTGGGTTCGAGCCCCGCATCAGGCTCTGTGCTCACAGCCAGTTCAGAGCCTGGAGCCTGTCTTCCAATTATGTATCTCTCTCTCTCTCTCTCTCTCTGACTCTCCCCTGCTCACGCTATCTCTATTTCTCTCTCAAAAAATAAAACATTAAAAAATTTAAAACAAAAAAAGAAAGAAGCCTGTAGACTCTGCAGTATGGTGGCCTGATCAAGATACAGGCAGGTGACAGCATTCTAAAACCATGCTGAAATAGCCTCTTGAAGGCTAAATTTGAATCAGCACTGACTTTGTAAACCTAAAACTGTCAAGTGATGACAGCTAACACTAGCAACACATTGTGCACATGTAGAAAGAGACTTGACAAGAATCCCTGGCATGATCAAGGTCTCAGAGTGTTAGAGGTAGAATTAAATCAAGAATTAAAACCTTCTGATTCTTGTCTTAGTGTTTTCCCTACATTTTCCCCCAATCTAATATGTTGCCTTTTTTCACAAAGTAATTTTGAAAAGATGTCCCCATTTTTCAAAATCTCATTATGTGCCTTGTTCCATATGTCTCTAGTTTCCTGGAAATCTATAATGAACGAGTGCGGGATCTGCTCAAACAATCTGATCAAAAAAAGTCCTACAGTCTGCGGGTCAGAGAGCACCCAGAGATGGGGCCCTATGTACAAGGTGAGCCACTGTGTTTCTAGAGGTCTGAGACCAAACTGAATTCTAGGAAGCTTTTCTCATGATCACTGATTGGTTTAATAAATATATAATGAATACTTACTATGTGCTACCTACTGTACTAGATGCTGGATGTATAACAATAGTCAGAAAAGACAGTCCTGCCCTCACAGGCAGACTTACAGTCTGGTAGGGGTGAGGCAAAAAGCAAACAATTATAAGTAGTGCTAAAAGCTAATAAAAAGGTAAATAGATGTCGTAATGGAAAAGAGCATTGGGCAGTGTAGGCAGTCCATCTGCATAGCGTGGTCCGGAAACACTTCTGTGAGGAGATTCAGAAGCCAGTCATGTGAAGAACAGTGTAGCAGGGGGAAGAGTGATCAGGTAGAAGGAGCAGCATGAACGAGAGCCCCTGGGAGAAGGGTTGGGTGATTGCAAGGAGACCAGTGTGTTTAAAGCATGGTGGATGAGAGGGAAAGTGGCATGGTATAAGGTTGGGGCTGTGGTGCCAGGTCCAGCAGGGCCTGAACTGACTCCCACATCAGCCAGTCTCCTTTCAGGGCACTTTCTCTTCCAATGGTGGTGATAGGGAGATGAGGAAATGTCACACACAGGACAGGTCAGTGCTGCTTCCTCATTGAGCGCTAATGTTTGGTGTCTGATACCGTCTGTCTTTTTCCATTAGGCTAGGTCTATTAAGTAGAAACAGTAGTGTTGTTTTGTGGAGGAAGTTTTTACCCTTTCAGGCCACTTAAAATAACACTCAAATCTATGCTCCTATTCCCTCAGAGATACGCTAATTTAAATCCTGACAAAAGAGAGTTACATCAGAGATAAGAGTTGGTCTCTTCTTTGACCAGGGTATGGCCAGGGGAGGTGTGCCAGTCACTGATTCTGCTACCCATGTCTTTTCCCAAAAGTTCCATCATAAACAGCAGCCTGGAAACAACAAAAATACCATTTGCTTTGCTGAGAGCCAGTGTAGTTTACTCCGTAAAACTCTATGGATATATATTTCCGTGTAAAGCACTTTGAAGGAAGACCAGGAGTTGATGGAGTAGTGTCACAATTTCTCACCTTTGTATTTTATTTTAGTGTGTGTGTGTGTGTGTGTGTGTGTGTGTGTGTGTGTGGTGTGGGGAGACCTCAGACACAGTCTGGGTGTCTTCATTGCACAGAAGCTAAAATGAAGCTGCAAGAAGCTAGGGGATATTCCCAAATCACAGCTGGTTGGGGCACGGTTGGAACTGGGAACGTTGCCTAGAATAGGAGGAGATAAGTGGGGCAGAATCCTGTACATCAGGGAGGCCTGTGATCGTATATTCTTTGATTGGCATTGCATCTGAAACCTGGAGAAGGAAGGAACTTATGCAAGGTCATTCACCTTGGGTCATACACCCAGTGAGAAGAACTGGACTGAAATCCCAGGGCTCTTCGGAATACCTTCATGGAGTAAACCCTCAGGGGGTGGGGAGGATGGTTGGTAGGAAATAATTCCAGCCCAGCGAAAAGTCTTTTAGATCCTTTGGGTTACATGTTTCTTAAAATTGATCTGGATTTTCTCACATCATGACAAATAAAGGTCAACATTCCTCCCATTTCTCAATGAAGGAGCCTTGACCTTAAATATTAGAGAACCAGCCTTGGAATCTAAGACTGAATAGTCACTCTGAACTATTACTATTCCCATTACTGCTCTCTGAGGGCATTACAGCAAACTTTTTACCTTTAGTTTTTTCAAACGTTTGCTTTCTTCATTCATTCATTTATATTATCTGCCTGCCTGCCTCTGTATGTGTCTGGGTACCTCTGTCTTTGGGCTCATACATTCTGTGAATGTGATTCCAAAGTGGAAAGTGGTTTCTGTTTTGAAACCAGTTCTCCAGGAGTTTATCGAGTACTGACTACATGCCTGTACTTTTTTTTTTTAATTTTTTTTTTAATGTTTTATTTATTTCTAGAAGAGAGAGAGAGAGACAGCGTGAGCAGGGGAGGGTCAGAGAGAGAGGGAGTCACAGACTGAAACAGGCTCCAGGCTCTGAGCTGGCAGTCAGCACAGAGCCCGACGCGGGGCTCGAACCCACGAACCGCGAGATCATGACCTAAGTGAAAGTTGGACGCTTAACCGACTAAGCCACCCAGGCGCCCCATACATGCCTATACTTTTTAGGGTACCACAGGGAATATGAAAATATAAGAACTTACACTTCTAGTTCAGAATTGTGAGATGGAACTTGAGAGTTGCCCAAATCAAAGGAAAGGAAGGGGCTAGCCTATTACCTTCCATTAAAAAGGTTTATTAATTAGAGGACAGATTAAGTTGAAATCTGAAATGTACAAAGGCCTGCCCGAAGCACACATGAGAGGCTAGTGGTTATAGGGTCTGAATCATTATCTAACTGAGAAGAAGACAGTGTTCTGTTTTTGCCTTGGCCTTTATCTTAGCATATGTGCTGCTGAAGCTAGTACAGCTTTGACCTTTATCTTAATATAAAGGGATAAGGTACAAAGCAGAAGGTGTTGGAAGTAGGTAATTGGGTTTCCGAAAAAAAAATTTTTATGTGTGTATTCTGGGTGTTCAATCTACATGTTTATTTTTTTTCTTTTTAATTTTTTAAAAAATTTTTAATTCTTAAAACTTTTTTCTCTTTGCCTTTATGCACTTACCAGGACCTCTGGCACCATATCAATATTAAAGTGCTAGCAGTATTTAGTCTTGTTTCCAGGGGGAAGCTTCAACATTTTACCAATAAGTATGATATTTGCAGTAGTGTTTGTTTTTAATAAATATTCTTTATCACACACTTATAAAACTATAACAAAAATATAGGACCAGGTTTTTAAAAAAGTTTTCCAATCTATGGCAAATCAACACTTTGGTAAAATAAAGATGAATTAGGGGTGCTTGGTTGGCTCAGTCGGAGGAGCATGTAACTGTTGATCTTGGGGCTGTGAGTTTGAGCCCCACCTTGTATGTAGACATTACTTAAAAATAAAATCTTAGGGGCGCCTGGGTGGCTTAGTCGGTTAAGCGTCCGACTTTTGCTTGGGTCATGATCTCGCAGTTCGTGGGTTCGAGCCCCGCATCGGGCTCTGTGCTGACTGCCAGCTCAGAGCCTGGAGCCTGTTTCAGTCTGTGACTCCCTCTCTCTCTGACCCTCCCCTGCTCACGCTGTCTCTCTCTCTCTCTCCTAGAAATAAATTAAAAAAAAAATAAATAAATAAAATAAAATCTTAGAAAAAAAGATAAATTTCTAGAAAAATGAAGAAGGCATCTTGATTATAAGCTCATTCTTTTTACAAATTCCAAAAATATAAAATCTCTTGTCTTATTGTTATAAAAGTTTTTAAAACCCTCAATTTCTGTTTCTATCCCATTACATACCAGTAACAGCTTGAGAACTGGCCCCAGTCTTTGGATCAGCTTTGAGAAACATTGCCATAGCAGGTTAAGGGAATTCTTTTTTTCTCTAAAAGATTTCTTAAGAGTTTTTTGTTTTTTTGCTTTTAATTTTTTTTTTTTTTTTTTTTTTTGAGAGAGCACCAGCAGGAGAGAGGCAGAGAGAGAGACAGAGACAGAGACAGAGAGAACGAAAATCCCAAGCTGCCAGAACAGAGCAGTGTGGGACTTGACCTCACTAACCATGACACCATGACTGAGCGGAAACCAAGAGTCAGATGCTTAACCTGCTGGGCCACCCAGGCACTCTTAAGAGTTTTTGTTTTTAACTTTGAAACAAATTAAACTTTTGAAAAAGTTGCAAATACAATATAAAGAACTTTTTTTCTTGAACCTTTTGACAGTGAATTGCCAGCCTAATGACCCATCTCCCCTGATTATTTTTAGAGTTTTTTCACTCCATTCCTCCAAATAGGAATGTTCTCCTGTATACTCACAACACAACCACCGAAATCAGGAGATTAACTTCAGCATGTTACTACCACCTAATCATTAGAACCCACTTAAGTTTCCCTAACTGTCCTGATAATTGCCTATTTGAGAATCACGGGTTAGATTGTCTCTCTGGGACTCTTTAGTCTGGAAAGTTTCCTTGGTCTCTCTTTAACTTTCATGAACTTTGACAACGATCAAATGGTGTACAATTTTAATTTGTCCCATTACTCGTGATATTTAAGGTGATATCTGCCCGCCTTCTTCACTCTGAAATTGCTATTTTCCTTTTGTGATCAACAAGTATTTGTGGGGCAGTACTGTGAAATCATGTACATAATCCATTTTCATCTAACTTTCAATTTATTTATTTCAGTTTAGATTCATGATTTCCTATTTTATTCAATGGGTTATCTTCTGTTCCTGTGATTTTTTTTTTATTTTGATGCTCAGTGCACTCAGGAATCCCCTGAGTACACTTCTGTGACATTTTGACACATCACTGTTGTTCTTTGGGCACCTCCTTGTTTTCTAGCACAGAGATATTCCAGGCTCATCTACTTTCTGTGCCTCAGTCTTAGAATCAGCCATTTCTCCTAGGAGTCCTGTTCCTTTTTATTGGAGAATAATATTTAGAAGCTAGGTCTGGGTGCTATGTATGTCTAGATGTCCCTCTGAGTGTAGAGAGCTAAGTAATCTGTGTTCACACCAGTACCTCTAATTGTAGTCCAACACAGCAGAGTTCATTCTGGATTTCTCCCTTTTCATATTTGTAATTTCTTTATCTAACGGGAGAGATTTCTTTGATCTACTTTCCTACATGTAATCAGTCTCCTTGCCATTGCTGTCCCCTCTCATGTGGGTGTCCACCTTCTGCACATGGTGGGCTTCTTGAGTCTGTAGTTTAATATCAGTTGTGGATATTTTTTAGTCATTATGTGTTCTAATAATTGCTTTTTCCCCCCTCCTTTCCTTTGTAACTCCACTTACAGGTATGTTAGACTAATTTCTGTGCTGTGATTCTTACCCTCTTGTCTATATCTGTGCTTTATTTGGGTATATGATTCTGAACATGTTTCTATTCACTGTTTTTTTCCAGCTGTATCTAACCTGCTAGTAAACTTAAATATTGAATTGTTATTTTCACTGTAGTACTTTTTATTTCCCAAATTCCATTTGATCCTTTCAGTATAGTTTCCAGTTTTCTTTGAAGTTTTATAATCTTGTATTTTAGTTCTTGAAAATAGTAAGCAGAGTTACTTTAAAGTTACCATAACCTCAGTGTCTGAATTTTTCTTGCATTTATATTGCCTATTATTTTTGCTGGTTTTCATTTATTTATTGCCAGATCTACTTGGATTTTTGGTTTGTTATAATTTTGTGGCAGATGATGTTTGCTGATTTTGTTAAAATAGAAATAATTTGAAGGTGTAGGACATTGGTATCTATCTGTGCAGAAGACTTACCTTTATTTGTGCCAGGTTTCTACATATGCTAGTGATCCAGAATCACCTCAGTCCAATTTAAGATTTAAGAATGTTCAAAGCTGCGCTGCAAACCCTTCAAAGGCTGTTTACTTCTAACTCTTTTATTCCTGTGTTTTAGCCCTTTGGGGTTCCGGCTCAAGTGGGGTTCTATAGTGGGTGGGCTCTGGACTGCAGTCTGTCTTCCCTAGACCTGTGAGGTTGTCAGGGGAACTGCTCTGAGCCATATCCCCTCAAGATTTGGCAAATGACTTCAGAGGAAAAGTGTCCCCAAATGCTGGCCTCTTTTCTCTGGGCTTTCATCTTTGCCCAGTATATGGCCCAGAAAATTTTCACTATCTGGGTATCCGTCTGTGCCTTAAAACTTAGGTCTTTAATGTTAATTGTCCAGATTTTTCTAATAGTCTGTCCTGGAAGGATTGGTTTGTGTTATGTCATTTTCCAAATGTCAAATGTCATTTGCCATTACCACATTTTTAAAACTCTTTTTATTATAGAGAATGTTGAATATATACAAAAATAGGCTAATGTAATTAACCCCTATGTATTCAAGACCCAGTTACAGTAATCATTAACGCCTGGCCAGTTTTGGTCTACTTATATTACCTATCTACTTTTCCTCATTCTGTATTGTTTTAAGGCAAATTATAGATGTCACATCAATTCATCTATAATATTTTAGCGTATAGCCCTAAAAGATAAAGATTTAAAAAAAAAACATAACCACAGAAATATAACATCTAAATAATAAAAATTTCTTTTTAATTTATTATTTTATTTCATTTAAAAATTTTAATTACTTATTTATTAATAATTTTTAAAATGTTTATTTTAGAGAGTCAGAGTGTGAGCGGGCAAGGGGTAGAGAGAGAGGGAGACACAGACCCTGAAGCAGGCTCCAGGATCTGAGCTGTCAGCATGGAGCCTGATGCAGGGCTTAAACTCATGAACTGTGAGATCATGACCTGAGCCAAAGTCGGAGGCTTAACCAACTGAGCCACCTACGTGCCCCTTTTATTTATTTTTTTAATTTTAGTTTATATCTAGCATAGTTAACATACAGTGTTATATTAGTTTCAGGTGTACTATATAGTGATCCAACAATTCCATACATCACCCAGTGTTCATCACCTATGTAATCCCCGTCACCTATTTCACCTATCTCCCTAATCTCCCTAACCACCTCCCGTCTGATAACTATCAGTTTGTTCTTTATAGTTTAAGAGTCTGTTTTTTGTTTTCTTCTGTTTTTTCCCCCTTTGTTCATTTGTTTTGTTTCTAAACCACATATGAGTGAAATCATATGGTATTTATCTTTCAGACTTATTTCACTGAGCATTATACTTTTTAGCTTCATCTGTGTTGTTGTAAATGGCAAAATTTCATTCTTAAAATTTGTTTTTAATGTTTATTTATTTTTGAAAGAGAGAGAGAGAACATGAGCAGGGGAGGGTCAGGGAGAGAGGGAGACGCAGAATCTGAAACAGGCTCCGAGCTCTGAGCTGTTAGCACAGAACCGGATATGGGACTCAAACTCATGAACTGTGAGATTGTGACCTGAGCTGAAGTGAGATGCTCAACCAACTGAACCACCCAGGCACCTCAAGATTTCATTCTTTTTTATGGCTGAGTAATATTCTATTGTGTGTGTGTGTGTGTGTGTGTGTGTGTGTGTATTATATATATAATAATATATATATAATATATATCTCTCTCACAATTTTTATTTGGTTTGTTTTTTGTTTTGTTTTGTGTTTTGAGAGAGAGAGAGAGAGAACAAGCAGAGGGAGGAAGAGAGAGAATCCCAAGTAGGTTCTGTGCTCAGTGTGGAGCTCAACTTTGGGCTTAACCCCTTGACCCCAGGATCATGACCTGAGCTGAAATCAAGTGTAGGACACTCAACCAACTGAGTCACCCAGGCACCCTTATACTACAATTTCTCTTTCCATTCATCTGTCAATGGACACTGGACTGCTTCCATATTTTGGCTATTGTAAATAATGCTGCAATAAACAGAAGTGCATATATCTTTTCAAATTAGAATTTTTGTATTCTTGGAGCCCCTGGGTGGCTCAGTCAGTTGAATGTCCAACTTTGACTTGGGTCATGATCTCACAGTTGGTAATTTTGAGCCCTATGTTGGGCTCTGTGCTGACGTTCAGGGCCTGGAGCCTGCTTCGGACTCTGTGTCTCCCTCTCTCTCTCGCCCCTCCCTCGCTCATACTCTCTCTCTCTCTTTCTCAAAATAAAGAAACATTAAAAAAGTAAAAAAAAAAAAAAAAAGAATTTTTGTATTTTTTTAGTAAATAGTGGAATTATTGGACCATATGGTAGTTCTGTTTTTAATTTTTTGAGGAACCTCCATACTGTTTTCCACAGTGGCCACACCAGTTTACATTATTACCAACAGTGCACGAGGGTTCCTTCTTCTCCACATCCTTGTCAACCCTTGTTGTTTCTTGTGTTCTTGATTTTAGCCATTCTGACAGGTGTGAGGTGATATCTCATTTTGGCTTTAACAATAATTTCTTAGTATAAAGAAATCCAGTTGTTGAAATTGCTTTGCTAATTTTTTTTTTTTTTTTTTTTTTTGCTAATTTTTAGCCTAGTTGTATTCAGCAATGGCCAGCGAAGTTACTTTGTTCCTGAATCTCTAGTTCAATTGTGAAGGCACTTTTAGATTTGGTCAGTAACAACCCATGAAGATTTGCTTTCATATTCTTAAGCTCCTCTTTATCTATCTAAAGCCTTCCGATTCTACAGTGACTAAATTCAGGTCTCACTTCCATTATGGAGCCTGCCCTGGCCACTCCTCTGATTGCCTGAGCATTTATTATCTCTTCTCCTATGGCATTTGGCCGTACAATCTTGTATAGTCTCACTTCTTAGGACTGTAAGCTGTTTGAGTAGGGACATGTGTGCTGGATGTTGTACATGCCAAATTGAGTCTTCCATCTTGTGGGGCCCATAGCATCTGTTTACCTCAGAAATGTTGTGAGGGCAAATTGAGGGAATGTAAGAACTTTCCTTATACTCTATATAGCTACATTTTAAGGAATTGGTGTTGTTCTTGTTGTTGTTAACAGAACCACTGTATGGATTCTAGACTACATTCTCTGTGAGTGCAGAGACCTGTGTTTACAGAGCCTATCATAATGCCTGACAGTAGGCTTCCAATAAATATTTGTTGATTTTTTATAACCTTAATGAATTCAGTCAAGGTCTCTCATTCTCGTCTATCAAATTATATAAAATAGGATAAAGTTAATGACATACAGGGAAAAATTAAACCAAATATTTTATTTACTTTCTTTTTTTCTCCCTCACAAATCTGATAGGTTTATCTCAACATGTAGTTACCAACTATAAGCAAGTAATTCAACTCTTGGAGGAGGGAATAGCAAACAGGTAACAGGTTTATTTGTTGCTGTCCTTATTCTTTCCTGTGTTCTCATCTCCGTTTGGAGTATATGATTATACTTCTCTCTGTAGCTTCCCACATTCACAATCAGGGGACCTTTCTCAGAACATAATGTACCCAGGGTAAGGGGTAGTAGCTAAGATTTCATGCATTTCTCACTAATGGAGAACCTGGAGTTTGTTATGGATATAATAATACCAGGTAGTAAGCCCAAAGTTACTCTGTGCTTTGTCTTGTAATATACAATTTTGCTGTTTTGACCAAAGATTCTTGCCTGCATTGTCCTTTCAGTAGGCTCGATAGAGATAAGAACAAATATAGTTTAAAATATTTCAGAAAACCATTTTTCTTCTAGTTTGGCATACTTGTAATGGGTACCTAAAAAAAAGACTCATTTAAATTTGCTATGAATAAGTGCTGTAGACTCTCCTAAAAGTTGTTGTAAATTTTGATAACATTCCATGTTGCTAGTTACTAGGAAATGCCCAGACTGTTACTAGTATATGCCTGAAAGAACAGACATTTTTATCTGGGAAAAAAATGTTGGGATTTAGTCTTCTATTTACCTTATTAATAGCATGTCCAAGTTAATTGACCATAAAAGAATAACTTTATTTTTAAATATTTTATTCATTTTTGAAAGAGTGCAAGTAGGGGAGGGGCAGAGAGAGGAAGACAGAGGATCTGAAGCAGGCTCTGCACTGACAGCTGAAAGCCTGATATGGAGCTTGAACTCACAAACCTTGAGATCATGACTTGAGCTGAAGTTGGACGTTCAGCTGACTGAGCAACCCAGATACCCCAAAAGAAGAACTTTAAATTTAACATTCTATTCCTTGGGTTTCATGGAACTATCCTGGAGGCACTTGCCTCTGGTCTGCAGGATGCCCTGTGTTCCTTGATCTTTAAGTGTCAGGCTTCACCTTTTCCTCTTTATCCTTGAATCATGAGACCTGCCTTTGGAGTTTGACCCTTCTTCTATTTTCCAGCTCCTCTGAGAACAGAAGTGAGTGAAATGGTGTTAAACTGAAACATGATTGGCTTAGATTTAGATGAAGGGAAGATTCTTCTGACATTAAGGATTAATATTTCAATGAATTTCTAAAGGAAGTTATGAATTCCACGTGGTTTAAATATGACTTAGATATAATTCAGGATCTCATTTCAAATCCCTTTCTGACACTACAAGATCAATATGTAGCATTTAATCACATTTTACTTTGAGGCTTCTCTAGCAAGCTCTCTATTTCCACCTGTCTTTTTTAAATGAGTCTATTTGGGGGATATTCTTCCAGGTTGATGACATTCTAGTATTCCCATTTTCAACTCTGATTTTTGCTTCTGTTGCTTACACAATGTCCTAATGTGGTTTAATATGAAGCTACATTGCCTTTTATTCTCAGATATCTGCACCTAGAATGCTGCTTTTGCCATCTTTGGACCACTCTCCTAACTAAACTGGACTAAATATGGATGTTTTATGATTCTCACCTGTGAACATCAGCACTAACACTTCTTGTGTTCCCCCATAGATTCTTAAGGATCTACCGTGCATAAATAATACTTATCCTAATTGTCTTCCTTTATGTACACAGAATCACAGCAGCCACTCATGTTCATGAAGCCAGCAGCAGATCCCATGCCATCTTCACTATCTACTATACACAGGTTGGTTACCCCTTTATTTGCTTAGATTTCTTCCTTTTGTAGTCCCTTTTTTTTCCTTAAATAGTTTATTGTCAAGTTGGTTTCCATATAACACCCAGTGCTCATCCCAACAAGTGCCCTCCTCCACACCTATCACCCCCTTCTCCCCTCTCCCTCTCCTCCATCAGCCCTCAGTTTGTTCTCAGCATTCAAGAGTCTCTCATGGTTTGTCTCCCTCCCTCTCCTCAACTATTTTTCCTCTTCTCCTCCTCCATGGTCCTCCATTAACTTCCTCCTAATCCACCTATATGTGCAAACATATGGTATCTGTCCATTTTGACAGCTTTCTTGTCTTTTCTTATTTCTCTTCCTTTCTTCTTACCTTTCCATTCATAGGTCCTTTACTGTGATCTAATGTTATAAGGAGGACGTACGTACAATCTACTAAGCTCTACACCAGAAAGGGTGGAGGCTGTTTCATAAAAACTAATCAAAATATCTTCAACTTATATATTCCTTTTAACATTTCAAAGCACTTTTATATCGATGTGATCAAAATGGGCATTTAAAACAAGCAAGGGACACATGGGTGGTTCAGTCGGTTGAGCGTCCAGCTCATGATTTTGGCTCAGGTCATGATCCCATGGTTCATGGGATCGAGCCCCATGTTGGGCTCTACACTGGCAGTGCGGAGCCTGTCTGGGATTCTCTCTCCCTCTCTCTCTCTGCTGCTCCCCAACTCTCTCTCTCGTATGCACTTTCTCCCTCTCAAAATAAATAAGTAAACATTAAAAAAAATAAAACAAGGAGCAAGACTGAAATAAAAATAAGCATTAAAATGAAAAAGTAGATTTATTTCTATTATGATGGAGTAAAGAGATCGACAAATCCTGTCCCTCAAAAGCAACTATAAACCTGGACAAAACTATCAAAATAACTATTTCTCCACTTTATTTAAAAAAAAAATTTTTTTTTTTTGAGAGGGAGAAAGCGTGAGCAGGGGAGGGTCAGAGAGAGGGAGACACAGCATCTGAAACAGGCTCTAGGCTCTGAGCTGGCTGTCAGCACAGAGCCCAATGCGGGGCTCGAGCTCACGAACTGTGAGATCATGGCCTGAGCTGAAGCCAGATGCTTAACTGACTGAGCCACCCAGGCGCCCCTTTTCCGTTTTAAAAACAGAGCCATATAATAAGCCACACACTTATTTAAGAAAACTACCAAGTTGTAGGTAAGAATAGTGCAAACCTGTGGTGTATTGCCTTGGGCTGTTCCTATCCTTACCTGTCTCTGTCGGTGAGGTATTCGATCAGGGAATGGAAGGCCATGAAGGCCAGCACCTTTGTTGCTACCACTGCTAGAGGAGGTCACATAATCTGGACCATTTTCAGTTAGAGTGGTGCTCCTGGTGGCAAGGAACAAGGAGATCAGAGGCTCCCTTAGCCTGAGATTGTGAATCTTTTTCAGGCAAGAAATGAACTGGCAGATTATCTGGGGACTTAAAAGGACGTTCTGGAAGATGATGCAGCTGTAGCAGTCTTGATAAAATCTTCACATATCCTGTATTGAACAGAACTTAAACCTAAAACTGAACTTTTAATGCATTTCCCAGCCCACACATAGATCTATTAACAGAGAATAGATATTTTATTGGCTCAGATGTTTGATTACAATTTCTGACCTGTCTTTGGCTAAACACTTAGCTATGCAGACACAGGGTGTCCCCCAAAAGGCCAAGCTTAGAGGTAAAAACAACTAAAGGAAAAAAGTGAACAGAGACTTCTTTGGCTACATATTGCTGGGGAGGCAGATTTTAGAGATTTTTAGCCTAGGCAAGTTACCAGAGAAACCAACCAACAACCACTACCACTCTCAAGGGGAAAAAATATCAAAATTCAGAGTTGTTACAGTATGTTATTTAAAATGTCTAGTATTCAACCAAAAATTATTAGACCTGCAAAAGCAAGTAAGAAACTACAACCCATGGCCATGAGAGGAAAAAAAACCAAACAGTAACAGTCACTAGAAACTGATTCTAAGTGCTCCAGATACTAAATTGTTTAACGATGATAATGACTGTAGAGAATTGCAATAAAATCCTAGAAATATTGTATAAAATGGAGTCCCAGAATTGAACTGTACAACAACCGAAACAAAAATTCAGTTGTGGGACTTGAGTAGATATGAGATGGCAGAAGAATTAATGAGCTTGAATATAGACAAATACAAATAAAAAATTTTGAAGAAAAGATACTAAAAAGATTAAAGGACAGAGCCTCACAGACGTGTTGGACCACAGCAAATGTGTTAACATAAGTGTAATGGAGATCTCAGAAAGAGAGAAGAGAAAATAAGCCTAAGAAAATTTTGAAAAATAGTGGCCAAAAAATTCCAAAATCATTAATGTACAGATAGAAGTATTTTATTTTATATTTTTTATTATAAATTAATCTTTTATTTCACCTTTTTTTTTTTTTACAAATAAGTTATTGTCAAGTTGGTTTCCATATAACACCCAGTGCTCATTCCCACAAGTGCCCTCCTCCATGCCCATCACCCTCCCTTCCCCCCACACCCATCAGTCCTCAGTTTTTGTCAGCATTCAAGAGTCTCTCATGGTTTGCCTCTCTCCCTTTCCCCCTTTTCCCCCCTTCTTCTCCCCCTTGTTCCTCCGTTAAGTTCCTCCTAATCCTCCTATACGTGCAAACATATGATATTTGTCCTTCTCTGCCTGACTTATTTCGCTCAGCATAACACCCTCAAGATCCATCCAAGTTGCTACACATGGCCAGATTTCATTATTTCTCATTGCCATGTAGTATTCCATGGTATAGATAAACCACATCTTCTTGATCCATTTGTCAGTTGATGGACACTTAGGCTCTTTCCATGATTTGGCTATAGTAGAGAGTGCTGTTTTGAACATTGGGGTACATGTGCTCCTATACATCAGCACTCCTATATCCCTTGGGTAAATTCCTAGCAGTGCTATTGCTGGGTCATAGGGGAGTTCTATTGTTAGTTTCCTGAGGAGCCTCCACACTGTTTTCCAGAGGGGCTGTACCAGTTTACATTCCCACCAACGGTGTAGGAGGGTGCCCGTTTCTCTACATCCTCGCCAGCATCTAGAGTCCTCCAGATAGAAGTATTTTAAAATCTCCAAGTAAAATAAATATAAAAAGATTCATACCTAGACATATCATAGTCAAAATTGAAAGACAAAAAGCAAATCTTGAATGCAGCTAGAGAAAAAGAACTCATGATATATAAGAGAACAATTACATGATTAATGGGCAACTTCTCACCAGAAATACTGGACCCCAGAAAAGAGAGTATTGAAAGGAAATAAAACTGTCAACCAAGAATTCTCTATGCAGCAAAACTAACTTCCCAAAATTAAGATGAAATAAGACCATTCCTAGGTAAAAAAGAGAAGAAAAAGAATAGAAATTATTGCTAGCAAGCCTGGCCTACAAGAAAACCAAATGAAATGTTTCATGCTGAAAGTAATATCAGTAACTTAAGTCTACAAGAAGAAATCAAAAGTGCTGAGAATATGAAATATGTAAGTTAATATAAAAAGCTACATAAATATATTCTTTCTTTTCTCCTAATGTTATTGAAAAGAGGATTGTACAAAATGATAATTATAATGCTGTATTACTATACATCACATACATTGTCATACATACTGACACTAATAGGACAAAGGAATAGGAAGAAAAAGGAGATCTGTGGGAGCAAAGCTTCTTTATTCTATAGGAATTAAGTTAATATTGTTTTGAAGTTGATTGTGATAAGTTGTGATGCATGTTGTAATCTGTAGAATCACTTAAGAAAGTAGCTAAAAAATATAATTCAAAAATCAGACATTAAAATGGTGCACTAAAAATAACTAACACAGAAAAGTCAATGAAGGAAGAACAGAGGTGTAAAAAATACATGAGACATCTGGAAAATAAATAGAAAAGGAATAGAAATAGTTCTGAACACATTAATAATTACATTAAGTGTGATTGGATGAGAGTACACATTGTCAGATTGGATAAATGCAAAACTCAACTATATGCTATCTACAAGAAACAGTCCTTAGATCCAAAGATACAAATATGTTTAAAGTAAAGGGATAGAAAAATATACACCATGTAAATAATAGCCATAAGAGACTTATAGTACTGTGTTAATGTCTGGCAAAAAATAAATTTTAAGACACATGCTATAGACAAAGAGGGGCGTTTCATAATGATAAAAGGTCTGTACATCAAAAAGATGTAACGATTATGAATGTATGTGCTCCCAACAGTAGAGCTCCAAATTGTAAGAAGATATAGGAGAAATAGTTCAGTCGCAGTAGTTTGAGATTTCAGTACTCCACTTTTAGTAATTGGTAGAACAACCAGACAGGAATCAGCAAGGATATAGAAGATTGGGGCAACAGTGTCAACCAATGTGACCTAACATTTAAAGAACACTTAACATCTACAGAATACATTTTTTAAAAATGTTTTTAAATGTTTTGTTGACACATTACACACAGAACCCGATGCGGGGCTGGAACCCACGAGCCGCAAGGTCATGACCTGAGCCGAAGCCAGACGCTCAACTGACTGAGCCACCCACACACCCCTACAGAATACATTTTCTTCCTTTCCCTTTCCTTTCCCTCTCCTTTCCCTTTCCCTTTCCTTCTTTTCCTTTCTCTTTTCCTCCCTTCCCCTCCCCTCCCCTTCTCTTCCCTCCACACCCAAAGTGGGGCTTGAACTCCCAACCCTGAGAACAAGAGTCAGGTGCTCCACTGACAGAGCCAGCCAGGTGTCTCTAGAATACATTTTCAAGTGCACATAGACCATTCTCCAGGATAAACCATATACTGCATAAAGCTAAAGTATGCAGTTGTAAGATAAGTAAGTTCTGGGGATATAAAGTACAACTTGATGACTAGACTTAGCAGTGATAGATTGTATATTTGAAAGTTGCTAAGAGACCCTAAAAGTTCACATCACAAGGACAAAAAAATTGTAATTGTGTGAAGTGGTGGATGACAAAGCTTATGGTAATCATTTTGCAATATAAACATATATCAAATCATTAGGTTATACATCTTAAATTTATGCAATGTATGTCAATTATATCTCAATAAAACTGGAAAAAATAAATGATAGTACATTCAAATTTAAAGCTAACTACCTCACGAAAATGATACATCACCTAATCATAATATGTAGGACTTTAGTTGGATTCTGATTCAAAGAAACTTTAAAAAAATTGAATAGGAAATTTGAACAATGGCTAGATATTTGATGTTCTGAGGAATTGTTGATAATGTTCTAGATATAATGATGGTACTGTGGTTGTGTCTTTTAAGGGTCTTCTGGAGATGCATACTGTAATATTTACAGTTGAAATTGTAGTAATGAATTGACTTCAAAATAATGTGGTTGGTGAAATAAGTGGGTGTATAAGCATGTGAGCCTGGCCATGAGTTGACAGGTACCTGGGGGCTCACTATACGGTTTTTCTACTGTCCTATATGTTTAGAATTTCCCATAATAAAATTATTTTTAAGGTAAAAAGAAAAGGCCAAGATAGTCTGGCATTAACATTAAGATAGACAAATAGATCCATGGAACAGAAGGGAGTTCAAAATAAACCTATGCACAGGCAACTAACTTTTCACAAGCTTGCAAAGACAATTCATAGGAGAATGTATAATCTTTTCAACAAATGGTGGTGGGACAGTTGAATAGCCATATGTTAAAAAAAAAAACAAACCCTACAAAACCAAACCAAACCAAACAACACCCACACCAAAACCAGAATAAAACAACTTTAACCCATACCTTGCACTTTATTCAAAAAGTAACTCCAACTAGACCATAGTCATAAATGTAAAGCCTGAAACCATTAAATTTGAAGATAACTTGGAAAACCTTTGTGATACTGGATTAGGCAAAGGGTTTTTCGGTAAATTGAACAAAAGAACAAATTGAAATTTGCAGTTGGTCAAAATTTAAAACTCTTTGAAAGACATTACTAAAGAATAAAAAAAGCCACAGATAGGGAAAATGTATTTGTAAAACATATCTGATAAAGGACTTGTATCCAAAATATATTTATAGAACTATCTAAACTCACTATAATAAGAAAACAGCTTACAACAGTGGGCAAAAATTTTAAGCCAACACTTCACTAAAGAAAATATGCAGATGATAATCAAGTCCTTGAAAAGATGCAGACATCACTAATCATTAAGGGGATGCAATTTAAAATCAAGTAAGATACCACTATCCACCTTTTAAAATACCTAAATTTATTTATTTTTTAATGTTTATTTATATTTGAGAGAGATAGAGACAAGAGTGCGAGCTGGGGAGGGGCAGAGGGAGGGGGAGAAATAGAATCTGAACCAGGCTCCAGGCTCCACATAGCCCACTGGGGAGCCTGAACTCATGAACTGGGAGATCATGAGAGATCATTACCTGAGCCCAAGTCGGATGCCTAACTGACTAAGCCACCCAGGCAACCCTAAAATACCTAAATTTAAGAGTGATTATACTAAATCATGGCCTAAGATGTAGGAGCTTAAGTTCTCATCTGCTATATTACCACTTGGAATATAAAATGGTACAACTTTGGAAAATAATTTAACAATTTAAACATATATCTACCATATGATCCAGCCATTCCATGCCTAGCTGTTGTTCCCAAGAGAAAAGAAATGGTATGTTTGTACAAAGACTTGTTCTCAAATATTCATAGCACCTCTATTTGTAATTGCTCAAAGCTGGAAACAACTCAAGTGTCAATGAAGAGGTAAAGAGATAAACCTAGTATATTCATACAATGGAATACTACTCATCAATAAAAAGGAATGAATTCTTGATACATACCTCAACATGGATGAATCTCAAAATAGTTATGCACAGTGAAAAAAGCCAGACATTGTATAATTCCATTTGTATGAAGTATACGGAGAATACAAATTTAAATTTTTTAAAAAAGAATTTTTTAAATGTTTATTTTTGAGAGAGAAAGGCAGAGTATGAGAGGAGAAGGACAGAGAGAAAAGGAGACACAGAATCTGAAGCAGGTTCCAGGCTCTGAGCTGTCAGCACAGAGCCTGATGCGGGACTCAAACTCACAAACCATGAGATCATGACTGGAGCTGAAGTCAGACGCTTAACCCACTGAGCCACCCAGGCGCCCCTGAGAAGATAAATTTATATGTAGAAAGTTGAGTGGTTGCCTGGGGATAGGGATGGGAATTGTGTACTGACTTGGGGGAACTTAGGGAGTTACTGAAAATGTTTTAAAACTGGATTTTGGGGCACCTGGGTGCCTCAGTCAGTTGAGTGTCTGACTCTTGATTTCTGCTCAGGTCATGATCCCAGGGCTATGGAATCGAGCCTTGCGGGCTCTATGCTGAGCAGAAAGATTCTCTCCCCCTCTGCCCTTCTCCCCTGCTTACACACTCGCTCTCTCTCTAAAATGAAAAACAAGAACCCCCATCTGCACCCCCCTAAAAAAAAAACCCTCCTGGATTTTGGTGATGGATGCACAACATTAAAATATAACAACAACAAAACCCTACACTTAATTAAAAAAAAAAAAGGAAAGATAGTTTTGCTCTTGAGGGCTAGATGCCCCTGAATAGAGAACATAGGTAGAGTGCTTGCCCTAGTAAGTTAATATGCTGTGACTCCAGTTAAGGGCTGCACACCTGCTGTGGATCTCTACTGATGAGAGTCAGCCCCTAGGAGGGGAGTTGAGCATTTGCCTGCTAAATTGAACTAAAATTTCTGGTACCTCTGAAAATTGTGCTCAGAGGACTTGGTGGCGATTTGCCCACTGTGGAAGTCCTGCTCTATTTTCTTTTCTTTTTAAAAAAATTTTTAAATGTTTATTTCTGGGAGAGAGACACACACAGAATGCAAGTGGGGGAAGGGCAGAGAGCAAGGAAGACAGGGAATCCGAAGCAGGCTCCAGGCTTTAAGCTATCATCACAGAGCCCCAACGCAGGGCTCAAACCCACAAGCTGTGATATCATGACCTGAGCTAAAGTCAGACACTCAACTGACTGAGCCACCCAGGCGCCCCCTTTTTAAAAAAAATTTTTTAAACTTAAAAAAAATTTTGTCCTCTAATTTCAATGAAGTAAGGACCCAGGGCTTACTGACTTATCAGAGCTCTCATCTGGTTCAGAGCATATTCATATACATATTTCTTGAGTGATTTGGCTAAAAATCCAGAATATCACCTTGTTTAGGGAGGCTGTCCAAGGGAGAATTACTACACTTTTCCAAATGACAAACTTTAAATGTGCTTTCTCCCTTAGGCAATCCTGGAGAACAACCTCCCGTCTGAAATTGCTAGCAAGATCAATCTTGTGGACCTAGCAGGCAGGTAATTAGGATTTCAGAGCCAAAGGGAATTAATTCCTTGAACTTGTTCTTGCCCAGACCTTGTTCTTACAGGGAATAAACTTGTTCCATCCTTTTCCACATTTTAGTCATCCTGAGAAAATTACAAAAGAAGCATTGTTGAATGCTATCTTAAGAAATTATAGTTTTCCAGGGGCTGAAAAATCTCCAGTGTCAAGGGTTCTAAATCTTAGATGCCTATTGACATCACTTGGGGCTTTAAAAAATTCTCAGTGCCTGGGTTTCACCTCTAATCAAATAAATAGCATTATTAGTGGGGTCAGAGACAGTGCAGACATCAGAAGTTTTTGAAGCTGCCCAGGTGATTCCAGTGTATTGTTAAGATAAAAAACCACTGCTTCGGGAGTAACCGGGTGAGTACACTTTTTTCTTTGACTTAATATTGATTTCATGCAGCCTATGCATTACTGGAAAAAAAAGACAGCAAGTGTTTAAAAATACTGTGGTATAGAAGAGAAGATATGACTTTCTAAGTATTAGAAGAAAGCATGGATTGTAGTCACATGTATATCCAGAGAGAAGAAAGTCTTAGGGATAATGGGGTCACACACAAAAGTATGAGAGGAGATAAAGCAAATTTTCTTATTTTAAGACTGTTAAATTATTACTATGGTACATCATTCCCTGAAAAATGAAGTGTTGTCTCTGTCAGCTGCATTTCTGGCATTTGGGGAGAAAAAAATGAAATGCTGTCAGGAGGAAACTGTATCAGGCACCCGGAAGTGTGACTCTTCAATATTTTCCATTGACTTAAAAAAGAAATTTAAAATAATTGACAGATAATGACACAGGTACTATAAAGCCATTAATAGGTGAAATTAAAACAAAGATTGGGCAGATGTGAGTATATGAAAAATCTATCCTAATATCATTACTGTAATTGAGCATTAGTTAGCTGAAAGTGCTCTGGCAGCCAAAATAGAAGAAAAATGTAATGAATTATTTGATTTCTATTGCCTGGGAAGCAGAAGAATGCCAGTTGGTTACAAGATGGTAATACTTTTTCAGGCACTGAATTCTAAAAAGAATTTATCATGTAGGCTTCTTACATAATGTGCAACATAATAGATAGTATCTTTCAACAGATTTATAAGGAAAGTATCTTCCTGTTTGTTTTTATTTTTCCTTTCATCGACTGTTTAGTGAAAGAGCAGATCCCAGTTACTGTAAGGACCGGATTACTGAAGGAGCCAATATCAACAAATCTCTTGTGACTCTGGGAATTGTCATCTCCACCTTAGGTATTTTGCCAATAGACTGGATCATCAGAGTGGGAGGGAGACTTTGGAAAACAACTCCTCTATTTTCATCTTGTCCAGATGGGGTAGACATTTACAAGGTTCTTTTTTATAAACTTACCTTCTGGGTGAGTATCATAAAAATTGATATTTGTCTGTGGTTGGGAACACTGTGGTCACCCTCCCATTCCTCTTTTCAAAAAGAAAGGAGACTGAAAAATCATGTGGCTCAGCTACTCCATGTCATGAGTCCACAGTCTAATTTAGGGTTCAAACTTGTAGTGTCCTATCATATGCAGAGAGGAATTAGGAGGTGTGATACTTAAATTTGTGTTCTCCAACTATTGTTCTAGTGCGTGTATTTCATGATTCCTTTTTCCCTCCATTTTTATTATTTTTTTGTCTTTAAAGCCCAGAACTCTCAAGCATTCAGCAGCTGCCAGAGCCTCAACAGTGCAGCCAATGATGGCGGTGACAGTGGGATCCCTAGGTCTCCTTCTGGAACCAGCAGTGGAGGGGCGCACTCTCGGAGGCAGTCTTACATCCCATACCGGGACTCCGTGTTGACCTGGCTGCTGAAGGACAGCCTTGGAGGCAACTCCAAAACTATCATGATTGCCAGTGAGTGGGGTGCTGGAGCTGCTTCTGTGTTGGGACTGGTACTCTGCCTCAGAGAAAGGGCCTTGACCACCCACTTCATTAAGGGTCTCATAACACAGCATGGGAGATAGTAGTGGGGCCAGTGGTTAGAGGCTGGGTTGGAAGGGCTTGGCGTGGCTTTAAACTTTTTCCTTCTACCTCAGCTGTGTCTCCTGCACACACTAGCTACAGCGAGACCATGAGCACACTGAGATATGCATCTAATGCCAAACACATCGTCAACAAGCCTCGGGTAAATGAGGTGAGACCTTTATTTGAAATCCTGGTTTGGTATTGTTCATATCAAGTTCTTTCATCCTCTCACTAATTTCTTTCTCCTTACACTCACCACAACTCGCCTGACTTCTTCTCCAAATGATGAAAGAGGGAAATTCTTTGTTTGAGAGTCATACCCTTTTCTCATCTCTTTATTGACTCAATTTCAGTTGTCTTTTTGAATAATTTATTTCAGATATTCTCTGAGGCCATCCCTGGTGTACCACTGCCGTCTTAAGGGAGATCATTTAAAAGTTTCTGTATTTAATGGTTTTATTTTGAGTTTATGTTGATGGTATGCTTCTGTTTTATTTCTTTTTTTTTTTTTTTTAAGTTTATTTATTTTGAGAGAGAGATCGCATGAATGGTAGAGGGGCAGAGAGAGAGGGAGACCGAGAATCCCAAACAGGTTCTGTACTATCATTGTGAAGCCTAACGGGGGAACTGTCCCCATGAAACCGCAAGATCATGATCTGAGCTGAAACCAAGAATTGGACACTTGACCAACTGAGCCACCCAAGCACCCCTGTTTTATTTCTTTTCTATGCAAACTGCAGGGGCTTTTCTGTTTTAGGCTAAAAGGGGCTTATAAGGAATTTATTAGTTTTGAAAGTTGATTCATAATGAAAAATGCCAAAAATTCCTTATCTGCTTTGTAGTTTCAGTGAAAAGTGTCAGGGCAGGAATCATAAACTGGTGGCCAGACCTTTATAGCCCATTTGTGAACTATTTTAAAAGGCAGTGTAATTAGGTAGATACTAAATTTAGTCACACTATAAGAAGACTAGCATCTACTACCAATTTGCGCTGCCATTTGGGTTACCTGTCAACCTTCTGCTCAAGGGCACTGATTCTCATACTTTATTAGAATCAACTCCTTGAGGGTTGGTTAATCCACGACTGGACCCCAGCCCTCAAGAGTTTCTGACTTGGTAGGTGTTGGAGTGGTGGTGCAGAAATTCTAACAAGTTCTTAGGTAAAGTTGATGTGGTTCTGGGACCATACATGAGAAGAATGCCTCAGAAGTCCCTCCAAAGGAGTAAATCACTTTTTCCAAACTAATTCTCTGTTATATCCTAGAGCTGGTTGGGGCCTGATATCAGTCAGTGGTGACCAAGCTCTTTATGTTTCAGGATGCAAATATAAAACTGATCAGAGAACTCAGGGAGGAGATCGGAAGACTAAAAGCCATGCTGCTGAGCTTCGAACTGGTATTCAGGCAATCGTAACTTTTCTGTACCCAGAACCTGCTTTTCATTTGCATAGAATCTGAGCCCTGTTGCATTTTGTGTCTTCACTTAAGTGACACTTGTGGAACAGTTAGGAACAAAGACAGGACTTAGATTACTCTGATTACCTGAGTAGTCTCAGATGGAGTGGGCATCCTCATTATGTCATCTTTGTTGTCTGAAGGGCAATAGCCTGAAAGGCTGTTATTCTGTTTGTAGGAGGATTCAGAGAATAGAGCTCTCCAGAAGAATTTCTTTGAATATTCCTTCTTTGTACCAATTTGAGCCCCAGTATTTAAGCTTCTGATTTGTTTCTGATTTTAATGATAAGGTCTTTTTTTTAATCTGCTTCCCTTTTCCTTCATAAAAGTAAGGATGAGTGAGACCCATGAAGCACATCTCTCTCTTTGTGCAGAGAAACTTGAGTCCATTGAATGAGGAAAAGGATGAGAATCTGAAGGAGCTGGTTCTTCAAAATGAATTGAAGGTGGGTGTGTGGGGTGGACTCATTTATGCTTTATATCACCCTGGTAGTGGGTTTCATGTCCTTCCATTATTCCTGAGTTAGGACTGCTCCCTTATCAGGACGGAGAGGTTCTATCTAGTTTAGAGACAGTTGAGTTGGGAGCCTTGAGTGGGGAGTGTGTTTGCCTTAGGGGCTGTGACTGACTTCCTTTGTTTTGTTCTCTTAGGAGTTCATGATAACTTCTTTGGATAGCGATAGTTGCCTAGAAAAAAAAATTATTTCCAGTCAGTAAATCAACTGACATGTACTCATTGAGTACCAAGTAGGTGCTCAGCATGATGAGACAGAAAGAAGCTTCTTCCCTCAAGTAGCTTGAAATCTAGTTAGAAACACACTCAGGTAATGGTTAAATGTAATGAACTCTATGAGTTATACAAAAAGAGCTTAGGGAAGGAAGAAGTCCATATGGCTTGGAATTTTCAGTGCAGGCATCACAGTCCTGGAAGCTAGAGTTGAACTAGACCTTGAAAGATATGTAGATTGTATTAGATAGGGAGAAAGGGGTGAGACATTTTGGGAGAGGGTGGGATAACACCAGCAAAGCCATGGACCTGAAGGAATGAACTGGTGTGAGAGGCCATGTGGAAGAGAGTAGTGGAGGTAAGGTTAGGACCAGTTTAGGAGGTTTGAACTTGACACACACAGGATTAATCATGGCTTCTTGAACCAGGTTGGTGACACAATAATGGAGTATATTGGGGACATTAACATGACAGTTGTATGTAGGATTAATTGAAGAGAGGGAAGACTGGAAGCAGAGAGATCAACCAGGAAGGAGACTGATTTTGTGACCCCATGAAGGTGAGGACGAGACATTTGGGGAGCTTAGGTTAAATGGTGATTCCCAGAGACATTTATAAGGAAGAAATGACAGGCATTGTTTGGTGGCAGGTTAGATTTAGATACCACAACCAAATGTCCCAATTCCTGGTATTCTGTCACCTCATTCTTATCCATTATAAAGTATCCTGGCTATGCCAGTATTTGGTTACCCAGACTAAACTTTAGGACTACATCACACACCCAGATGTCTCTAAAAAATTCTGTGTTTAAATATATGTTCTGATTTTTGGTTCAGAAAATATCACCCCTGTGTATATAAGAGATGAAGTACAGAGTCAAAATCACTCCATTATACATTATACATTCTGGCAGACTTGGACTTGAATCTGCCATTTGCTGGCCTTATGACCTTGGGCAGTGTAGGGGTAGGTGATGAAAGCCAGCCAGAAGGGGAGGTGTGTTCAGCGGTATCTCCAGGTAGCTGAACCAGGCTGGTTAAAATGTAAACCACAGTGCCCTGCTTCCAGGTCCTAATCCAGCTCAGCCCTTCGTGGTACCCTGTAGGTTCACTCTTTGCAAACTTTAACTCAATGATTATAACGTTAAAAATAATATTTCTAGGGTACATAAAACACTGGTACCTAAATTTGGCATACTTTGTTTTTTCTCAGGTATTCCGTTTTTGAGAAGTACTTAGCCGAATCTAGGTCCTTTTCCTGGGCTTCCTCACGACTTCCATTCTCAGAATAACTTTCCTGCCTGGGCATTAATTTCCACCAAAAGAAGAAAAAAAGCACCTTATATTCAACATTGTTCATTCATGTTCCCCAAATGGCCTTAACTTAAGGCCTCTAATTTGCTATATTATATATATTTAAAACTCTGTTCCTGGCATATAGTAACCCTTGGTATTTTATTGTTGTTATTACAATAACAATACGATAGTCTTTCTACCTGGGGAGATTCATCTTGATGCTTTGTGTATCTTTGAGCCCCCTACAAACTTACATTAGGGTTTGAGGTTCTACACCTTGAGAAAGAAGTATTACGTCATAAAAAGGATTCCTAGTATGGATCACATAGAAGAATGGGGAAAGGGAGTTATAAGCATAGATGTATGAATAACTTCTCAAATAATTAAACAAAATAACATTTATGGCATTTTTTCGAGTTATAAAAACAATACACGCTTGTTGAAGAAAACTTGAAGAATACCCTTTACTTCAGAGTTTATAAAAGTAACTCTTGCTTATTGAAGAAATTTGGAAAACTGGTCACAGAGGAGGTGCAAGGGCCTATGTGGAGCTTTGAATATCATCAGTGAGGAAGGTGAGGAAGGAATACCATGAGGAATTCCGTCTGCTCCATGTACTGTGGGGCATCTAAAACTGCCTCCTCTCTCTCTGCAGATAGACCAGCTGACTAAAGACTGGACCCAGAAGTGGAATGAGTGGAAGGCCCTCGTGGAGCATTACAGAGTGGACATCAACAGAAGGAGGGCCGGAGTGGTCATTGACTCCAGCCTGCCACACCTGATGGCCTTGGAGGACGATGTACTCAGCACAGGAGTCGTGCTCTATCACCTCAAGGTGAGTGGGCCGGTGCGTTCCCTCCTTTCCTGAGCCACTGGCTTTAGAGGTCACAGAGGCAGAAGCCAAGGGCAGCAGCCATGCATCTATGAATTGAGTCAAGTGCCACAGAGCTGCCTTCAGGTTTGCCCTCAGGAAACTGGGCTAGCCAGCCAAGTGTGATTGATTTGTTTGCTTTTATACAATTAGAGCGGAAGACTGGAAATCAGAACAATTATTTGTTTTTCTCTGGCTGCTACTATTGCTCTCATATAACTTACTTTTGTTGTCCGTGATTTGATTTCCTCATTTTAAAGTAAGAATGGTGCTGCTTGTATTCCTTTTCTGGCTTCCTGTACACAGAAGTGCAGGCATGGAGGTGAAATCCTAACCTTAAAACTCCATTGGCACTTCTGACCTCTGCATATACAAGCTGCTCACAGACAGCTTTCAGAGGCAAAAGAGGGAATCAAGATCCGAAACCGTTTCCTTCTAATATCTCCCCACTCCTCAACCTCCTGCTTCTCCATTGCTAGGTTTACCAGGGAAAGAAGAGAGGAGAATGAAAGTAGATACAGAAGGCTTTAAGAAAGCATGAGGGGTGGGGCACCTTGGGTGGCTCAGTTGCTTGAGAGTGTCACTCTGGATTTCATCTCAGGTCGTGATCTTGAGGTTTGTGGGTTCGAGCCCCACATGAGGCTCTGCACTGACAGCATGGAGCCTGCTTGGGATTCTCTCTATGCCACTCTCTCTGTCCCTCCCCAGCTTATACTCTCTCTAAGTAAATTTAAAAAAAGAAAAGAAAAAAAAAAGACAGCCTGAGGGACAGCCCAAAGCACCGGTGGGCCGGCAGGGCAGCACACAACATCCAGCCATCTGGAACAGTGGAAGGAAGCTCTTGCCTTCTAAGAAGGACCTGCATTACCCAGTTCTTTGTCACATGGAAGCAAGTCATCATTTCTAAAGGAAATATTTTGAGAGTTAGTGCCCAATGGTAGTCAGTCATACCCTGTCCTTATCAAAAATATTTGTCCTATAAAAGGACAATCTCTATGGATGACAGAACATACTTTATGTGGCAAAAATCCATACGCTCACTGAAAATTCAGTCTTCATTCTCCTAATTGTCCCCAGCTCCCATTTGAAAGGAACAGGGTTTATGTGGGGTATATAATACTGCTCTCATCCCTAGAGAAATCAGGGTCCTAACGCTGCAGTGCTATGGTACTGAGATATTAGCAAAGCTCATTCTGTTGAGAAAGTCTGTTTTCTTAGGATAAGCCCTCAGGGAAGTTGTCAGACTGAGCCTCTCACAAAGTTAAAGTGGCTTATTTTTCAACACACAGAGTATAAATTAGCTCTGTGAAAATGCTTCAGGTGGAAGCTGTTACTTAAATAACTGATCTGAACACTAAAGGCTATCAATCCTTCTATTAGTCAGAACCACACGGAGAGGTTGGGGCTCAGGAAGAGACTAGATGCATTCAAATGGTTAATATTTGAGTAGAAATGATCTGATGTATTTGAGTGGATATGGAGTGAGCAGATGAAGCTAGAAGTCATGTGGTAGAGCTAAGAGTGGCAGCAGAGGGTTAAAGGACATGACTGAGTATTTTTTTTTTTTTTTTTACAAATAGTTTATTGTCAGATTGGTTTCCATATAACACCCAGTGCTCATCCTCACAAGTGCCCCTCTCCATGCCCATCCCCCCCATCCATCAGTCCTCAGTTTATTCTCAGCATTCAAGAGTCTCTCATGGTTTGCCTCACTCCCTTTCCCCCACCATTTCCCCCCTTCTTCTTCCCCATGGTCCTCAGTTAAGTTCCTCCTAATCCTCCTATACGTGCAAACATATGATATTAGTCCTACTCTACCTGACTTATTTCACTAAGCATAACACCCTCAAGGTCCATCCATGTTGCTATACATGAGGACATGACTGAGATTGAATCCGAGACCAGAGGTGAGCACAGGCCTCATCCATATGTTTGGAATGCTGATTTTCAGTTTGGGGTCTGTACGCACTGTGGGTGGTGCCCCTCCTAGATGCATTCCCAGTGAGCCTAGAGTATGAGGCTTCAGTCTAGTTCTAATCTTGACATTTCTGCATTTTCCCCCTTTTTGTTGATTTAGATCCTACTTTGGGTAATAGTATAGGCGTGAGTAATAGTATAGCAGTAATCACTCAAGATTCTCTGTATTTTTATCTGCTTTGCTAACTTGATTATAGACCTGGAATGAATCTCTAGAGCTCTGGAAGCTCTTTTCCCCTGGGCCACCTTGGGAAGTACTTTGGATGGACAAAGGGAAGGGTAGGTGGAACACAGGTTACTGGTATCCTGGACTTCATCCTCATGCTGCTCACTTTTTTTTTCCCTTTTTTTAAAAATTTAAAAAAATGTTTTATTTATTTCTGAGAGAGAGAGCACAAGCAAACGTGAGTGGGGGAGGATTAGAGAGAGAGGGAGACACAGAATCTGAAACAGGCTCCAGGCTCTGCGCTGTCAGCACAGAGTCTGACGCAGGGCTCGAACCCACAAACCGTGAGACCATGACTTGAGCTGAAGTCGGACCCTCAACCGACTGAACCACCCAGGCGCCCCATGCTGCTCACTTTCTTTGCGAAAATAAGCAGAGGGGGCAGCAAGCACAGGTATCATCTCAGTTCTTGTTAAATGAGATTCTTTTGTGTGTTTTGGTAGTTTCTGCTCTATAGATGTAGAAGAACTCACAAACTGCACATGGCAGATTCCTCATATATAAAAGGGGGTTATACTTTAAGGAATGCATTTCATCATCAGGGCTGACCCTGAACCCAAGGAGTCCTGACCCCTTTCCCTCAATTTTGATTGGTGGTGGTTATGGAGGCCAGCAGCATCCATTTGTTTGTGTGGCTGAGCAGAAAAGGCTGGGCTCTGGCTGTCTGGGGATGGCGGGAGCACAGGGAAGTCAGAGTCTTTTTTTTTTTTTTTCTAATATTTATTCATTTTTGAGAGAGCGTGAGTGGGGGAGGGTCAGAGAGAGAGAGAGGGAGACACAGAATCCCAAGCAGGCTCCAGGCTCTGAGCTGTCGGCACAGAGCCCTATGTGGGGCTTGAACTCACGAATGGTGAGATCATGACCCGAGCTGAAGTCAGACCGCCCAACCGGCTGAGCCACCCAGATGCCCCTAGTCAGAGTCTTATTCATTGCTTCCGGGAGCCTGCCTTTTCACCAGCTACTTTTGGGGAACTGCAGGGATGTCCCCCTTCTGGCTGCTGACAGTGAAGCCTGGTGGAAAAGTCTCTGGTCACTTCCAGTTACGAGGGAGGTGAAATGGTGAGGCTGGACAAGCATGGGCTCAGGCCCAGAGAGACCTCCATTCTAGCCATGGCTCTCCTATTTAAAATTTTTTAATACATTTTTAAAGTTTATTTATTTACTTTGAGAAGGAAGTACAGATAGTACTTTTGTGAGAGGAACACAGATAGTAAAAGTGGAGGAGGGGCAGAAAGAGAGGGAGACAGAGAATCCCAAGCAGGCTCTGCACTGTCAGCTTGGAGCCCAGTGTGGGGCTCAAACTCCTGAAATCGTGAGATCGTGACCTGAGCCAAAACCTAGAGTCAGATACTTAACTAACTGAGCCACCCAGGCACCCCCTTGATTTTTAAAAAATGTTTATTTATTTATTAAATTTTTAAATGTTTATTTTTGAGAGAGAGAGAGAGACAGAGCCATGAGCAGGGGAGGGACAGAGAGAGAGAGAGAGAAACACAGAAGCCAAAGCAGGCTTCAGGCTCTAAGCTGTAGCACAGAGCCCAACACGGGGCTCTAACTCACGAATGGCGAGATCATGACCTGAGTGAAGTCGGCACTTAACCTACTGAGCCACCCAGGTGCCCCTTTTTAATGTTTATTTTTGAGAGAAAGAGAGAGAGCGAGCTAGTGAGCATGAGTGGGGAGAGAGAGGAAGACACAGAATCCAAAGCAGGCTCCAGGCTCTGACCTGTTAGCACAGAGCCTGACATAGGGCTTGAAACTCACAGACCACGAGATCATGACCTGAGCCGAAGTCAGATGTTTAACCAACTGAGTCCCTCAGGCACCCCAGCCATGGCTCTCCTATTTAGTGTATAGGCTCCCTGAGCAACTTTCCCTATCAGCTTCAGATTCCTCATATATAAAAGGGGGATAATACCTATACTTTAGGTTGCTCAAGGATTAAATAAGAGATGTCTATAAAGCCCTCAGTGCAATACCTGAGACATAGTGGATGGTTATTCAATACATGGTAAATATGTATCTAAACTCAGCTTCCCTGTTGTCATAGTGCTGCCTTCCACAAACAGAGTTATGTGTTCTTAAAAGAATTGCCATTATTCAAGGGTCAAACAGCCTTGTCTTCTACTAACCCAGTAATTCATTTATACTAACTCCATTTTCCCCTCATGTCTTATACTCTCGTCCTGTCCTTTTTGATCCTAGACATGCTTTTCTCCTATTTGTGCTTTATCCTTCTTAGAATCTGGTATCTCTCAAACTTCATATGCGGACCAGAAAGGTAAAAATCCTGTGTTCTCCTATGTCTTCATAGAATGTGTGTCTCTTGGAGACTAAATGGACTAAACTTGGACCACACCAACCTTACTTAGTCTCTGGAGAAAAACTCTGCCTTTGCACCCTCTTCCTCGGACTAGAGAATCTCTGACCAACGGCCATGACTATTCCCTAACATCAGGCCGTGAGACAGAAAGGAGTTTGTCAACACTAGTTGACACTGCAAAGAGCTGGTGCTGCTTTCTTCTATATTGTTTGCCCCTGCCTTCCCAAGGGCTTCCTGGGCTGCAGTGTGTGGGCAGAGCAGTCAGAACAGCCTGAACCGAAGTTGAGAAGTGGTGTGGGAAAGGCCGGGGTGGGTGTGGGAAGACCGGGATAACACTTCACCAGGTGGGTTCTGCTTTGCAGGCAGGCTGTGTCCCTTTTTATTCTCATTTAAAGAGCTTTGTTTTTCCTTTTAGGAGGGGACAACAAAAATAGGAAGGATTGACTCAGATCAGGAACAGGACATTGGTAAGTGATAGAGCATCTGGGTCTGACACTGTGGCACATACTCATGCCTGACCGGACTCTTTAGACATATCTGATGATGCTCTGAGAAGAAGGAATCCTTGAGGATCAAGGGGCTGTTACTCTTTTGCTGCTACATTGTGGTGGTGGTTGTGCATCAGGGACATGATAGGAGGAGACCCACACCATGGGAGAATCCAGATCTGGGTGGTTTTCAGATGGTGGCTCTTTCTCTCTTGTCTTAATGTAGGACCTTCCAGCTGTGAATTCTATTCTCACAGAAAGGATGTTTCCCTGGGTTGTTTCCCCACCATGTGACCCCCGTCTCTTGTGTAGTTCTGCAGGGGCAATGGATTGAGAGAGACCACTGCACTATCACCAGTGCCTGTGGGGTAGTCATTTTGCGGCCTGCCCAGGGGGCCCGCTGCACAGTCAATGGTCGGGAGGTCACCGCCTCCTGTCGTCTGACCCAAGGTAAGACTGTTTAATGCCCTGTTTATACCAGGATGAATGATGAACCAGCTTCCTTTTTTTTTTTTTTTTTTTTACAAATAGTTTATTGTCAAATTAGTTTCCACATAACACTCAGTGCTCATCCCCACAAGTGCCCTCCTCCATGCCCATCCCCCCTCCCCCCCACATCCATCAGTCCTCAGTTTTTGTCAGCATTCAAGAGTCTCTCATGGTTTGCCTCTCTCCCTTTCCCCCACCATTTCTGCCCTTCTTCTCCCCCTTGTTCCTCCGTCAAGTTCCTCCTAATCCTCCTATACGTGCAAACATATGATATTTGTCCTTCTCTGCCTGACTTATTTCGCTCAGCATAACACCCTCAAGGTTCATCCATGTTGCTACACATGGCCAGATTTCATTGTTTCTCATTGCCATGTAGTATTCCATGGAATAGATAAACCACATCTTCTTGATCCATTCATCTGTTGATGGACACTTAGGCTCTTTCCATGGTTTAGCTATTGTGGAGAGTGCTGCTATGAACATTGGGGTCCATGTGCTCCTATGCCTCAGCATTTCTGTATCCCTTGGGTAAATTCCTAGCAGTGCTATTGCTGGGTCATAGGGCAGTTCTATTGTTAGTTTCCTGAGGAACCTCCACACTGTTTTCCAGAGGGGCTGTACCAGTTTACATTCCCACCAACAGTGTAGGAGGGTGCCCGTTTCTCCACATCCTCGCCAGCATCTCGAGTTCTCTGATTGGCTCATTTTAGCCACTCTGACTGGCGTGAGGTGGTATCTCAGTGTGGTTTTGATTTGTATTTCCCTGATGAGGAGGGATGCTGAGCATCGTTTCACGTGTCTGTTGGCCATCTGGATATCCTCTTTGGAGAAGTGTTGAACCAGCTTCCTTCTTATGGGCCAAACCCAGAGAACTCAGTGAAGCAGGCTTTAAACATGGGATACTCATCCTTTACATCCAGAGACCTGAAGATCTGAAGATTTCCTAATACCATCCTCTTCCCATAAACAAAGATGCCCCAATTCCAGCTCTCCAAGATGGAGAATGACTCTCTGAAATTTCTGTGTACCTGTGTTTGCTAGCTCTGTGTCCTTGGGAAAGTCTCTGAACATCAATTTTCTCATCTGTAAAATGGCAATAAGAGAATTGTGAAGATTGAACAGTGTTCTTGTCACATAGTAAATACTGGTTTACTATTACTATTACTACTATTATTATTATTACTATTACTACTACTGTTCATCTATTCAAATTCCATCTTTCCTTTGAGGTTGAGCTTACATTCCCCCTCTTCCATGAACCATTCCCTCACTAGTCCATGGGGGACTCATTTGGCTTTCCCTTGGAATAGCAGAAGTCCTCCTGTTTATTTTGTTAGTTCAGTACATATGCTGTGTGATATCCAATGAATACATATTATTGACTCACCTAAGTTACCAGCTTAGGGCAGGGCTTTGTATCTCAGAAGGGCACTCTGCACATAATACATACTGAGAACATGAGCTGTTGGCTCATTCTCCTCTGTCTTTGCCACAGGAGCAGTCATAACCCTGGGGAAAGCACAGAAGTTCCGATTCAACCACCCAGCAGAGGCCGCTGTCCTACGGCAGAGGAGGCAGGTCAGTGTGCTGAGTTTTCAAGGTGACTGCCCGCTGCCCTGCTCCTCCTTTCCAAGGGACAAGTTTGAGCTTTATCTGGTTCTCTTGGGGTGGGGTTGGTGACAGCAGCTTCACAGCGTTCATTCCTCATTCCCAGGTCGGAGAGGTTGTCGGTGGCAGTGGCTCTTTGGAATGGTTGGATTTGGACGGAGATGTCACTGCCTCCCGGTTGGGTCTCTGCCCTTTGCTTTGGAAGGAAAGGTGAGAAACGTGTGCTCATTCTGCTGTGGAACCTACTGTTCTTACTTCTTATTCTGTTACAACACCGAGCGGGGAGAGGGTGAGTGTAGTAGCTGAGCTCTGAATGAGGCCTGGTCTCAACCAACATGTGCAGATGATTGAATGTTACTGCACTAATTGCTTAGCTTCTAGTTGGCAGGGAAGCAGTCTTAGTCCTCATTCATTTCCTGTTCGGTATTGCAACTTCCTTCATCACTGAAAGGAGTATAATATATCATCTGATGTTTCCCATCGCTACCTTCTTCTGTCAGCCAGATTGGAACATGACATGTTTGTACATATCTTTAAGACTACTTCTGCACTTAGCTCCCCATGTGCCCCCTTTAAATTCTGGCCAGCCTGTGTGTGAGGTTACAGGGGTGTCAACTTCCATGACTGTGGCTTTCTCCAAGTTTTTAAAGATAGTGTTGTACTGAGAATCATTTTTTTTCTCAATACCAATGGTCCAAAACTACACATAAGAGGATTAGGAACTCTCAGAACAATATGAAAGTATCTTGCAGTTCTTCCCTCTCATGCCCACTCCACCTGCATTGTGACCATGAAAACATGGAGTCAGGTTTTTATATATGTGATTGGTGGCAACTTCTTTTCTTCTTCATAGTCCTTCTTCATCCATTTCTTCATACCATCCCCTTCCCAGGTCTACATGTCTCGTAGGTTTGTTACTGTGAACAGTGATATCCTTCTGGTCCCATAAGCCAAAGTAGCCTCTTACTTGGGGATGTTCTGTAGAAAATGTCAGCAGGACACTCAGTGCCTGTGAGACCACTGGTCTTGGGAGGCTGCCCAGCACTGTGAGCACAGGCTTCCTGGGAGATTATGATGGCTCTTTCCCCTGGTTCCTTCACGGGAACCTAGCTGCTCTTTTCTCAGACCAGGAGCATTTGCTGGCAACTGACAAAAGTCTTGGTCTGACGTTGCTGGTGAGTGGTGTGGGATGTAGGGGCAGAAGGCTGTGATGTATGAACAGCAGGCAGGTCCTCACCTGTGGACTGCTAAGGACAGAAGGATGAGGCCCCAGAGTCTCAGGCAGGATGACTCCAGTGTTGCATAAGTGGGGGCTCTGTGGGGTGACAGGGAAGGTGGGAGAGGTGACACAGCTGGAACACATCAAGGCCAAGGTGGAGTAAGGAGCTGCTGGAGTTCTTATTTCATCAGAGTGCAGTCATGAGAAGAGGCCTTGTCTTAGGTAAGATTTCTACTGTGAGAATGCATTGGAGACCTGTCTTTCCCAGAGCTCAGAGGGTTACAGAGAATAGCTCTGCAACTTAGCTAGCTGTGAAGTTGAAGAGTTATCTTAAGAGTTGAATAAAGCTCCTTCACCTCCTGGATTTATGAAGTGAAAGCTGTGTGTCCTTAGGCAAGTTACTGAGTCTCTGAGCCTGTTCCTTCACCTCTAAGTAAGGATACCACCATCTGTCTCTGAGAGATCCTCCTGATAGGGGTTGAAAGAGCAAGTACACGTGGAGAGCCCTGCGTGCCGCCTGACGCTCCCAGCCCCGCTGCTGAAGGCCCTTGTGCCGAGTGGCCCAGGTACATAGCCTCCCTTTTGTTTTCCTGTCCTCCCATCTCATCCCAGCTGACCCATCCACCCTAGAGAACACTGGTCTTCTCCTGCCTTTTTAAGATCTCCTCAGGCTCTCTAGCCCCAGGGGCACTGGTGTGACCTTTCAGTAACACCAAGAATGCACCCTTTCATTTGGAGAAGACAGAGAGGGATTGAAGAAACCAAAGCCTCTCCCACTTGCTGCCTCCAGTCTTTAGCACCAGCTCCAGGAGCCTGTGAGCTGGGCTGGTCCTACGCAGCTACCATAGCCAGCATCTGTGTGCCAGCCCGTGGGAAGTGGCAAAGTGTGGGGTACAAGCCTGTGATTGGGCAGAGGGACCGGAGAGAACCGTGAGAGAGGAGAACACTGTATGACACCAGCGGGGCTCCCAGACTGTGTTTGTGGCTGTGTCTCCATGAGAGTCTCCTCTGCTCTGGTGGGGTTGGCTCCAAAGCTTCCCCTTGTCCTAGAATTTTCTTCTCTCATTTTTCTCTCTGGAGGAGCACTCACAGGGAGCCTGCAAAGGTGGAGCTGATTCCAGAGCCATAGGGGATTGGCCAGCCTGCCTCTTTTTATCCCTTGCAGTAGTGACCTGGACCAGAGAGGAGTTTGTCTTTGAAAACTGTTTTTTGCATTGTCCTCTTTGGAACTTTGGGGGCTTAACCAAAATTAGAGCCTGGGAGACCCTGTCGCTGCTGCCACCGCCACTGCTGCCTTAGTGAGTACCCGCTGCTGCATTCTGCTGCAGAAGCTGTCAGGCCTCCAAGCAGCTAGGAGAGAGCGCGGGGGAGGGTGTGATGGAGTCCTGGCAGGCGGGTGACCAGGCAGCAGTGGGGAGATGCTGGAGCCACCAAAGATGAAGGGCAGTCATCTGACAGAAGACTTGCCAGTAGTAATAAACCCAGACATGTAACATAAGGTTGTTGAGTTTGTTTGTTTTTTGTTTTTCCCACCTGCTTTCTGGGAACTTGGCTGATAATGCTTAGCTGAGAAGTCATTTTCATTCTGATGGTGTGTGGCATCTCAGGTGAATGGGCTCGGTCTATAGTGATCATCCCAGACAGATTCCTTGTGCAGGTCTTGTTTTGGTGCATAAAGGAAGCTGCACTAGATCAGCAGAAGCTGACTGGCTAGCTGCTGCTTCCCTAGGGGAAGAGTAGAGGGAGCCCTCTTCTGTGGAGAAGCAAATTGTGAATCTGAGGGTTGGGAGACAGGCAGAGGAGGAAGCTGAATCTGCTCCGGGGATTAAGAATAAAGATACCTCCCTTGTTCCTTGCATCTGATGGTCTGCACTCTAGCTAGGTTTGTCCAAGACCCTCTTATGGGCTCATGCTTGTAATTCAGCCATGTCTGTGGTCAGACAAAATTTGGAGGAATAATATAGGCACGATGCCTACAAACATATGTATAATCTGTTTCCCATTAGCGCCTTTTCTCATTGTGTGGTGTTAACTAGTTTTCTGTTCTAACTGCTGTCCTTAGCCTTTTGCCTCACATGTGACAAAGGGTGCCTTTCCTCTTTCCTGTACATTCCACTGTGTGTATTTGGCCTTTTGCCCACAGCAGTCAAAGCCAGTTTTCCCCAGGACACACTCGCTCAAGTATCTGGGCCTGTCCCAGTTCTTGGGCCCCTTATAGATTGAGTCCCCTCCCAGACTCCTTCCCAGGGAGAAGATTGCTATCATGTCACCTCTTATCCCGCACCCCACTGCCATCCATTCTTCAGTCTCCTCTTAACGCTGCATTAAGAAATCTTAATTTCTTCTAAGACGAGACAGCAAACTTTCTGTAAAAGACTAGATAGGTGATTTGGTTTTTGTTGTTGTTTTTACCAGATAGTATTTTAGGGTTTTGGGGCCATACAGTCTCTGCCACAGCTGCACAAGCAGCCTAGATATAAACACTCATAAACAAATGAGTGTTCGTATAACACTTTATTCACAGAGACAGGCAGCAGACCACATTTGGCTCACAAGCTATAGTTTATGGACCTCTGCATTGATATACCGTCTGTGATTTCATTTTCCTCTACAAAGTAGTAAATTAAAGCTGGATGAACCCCCGCCCTCAGAGCACTGCTCAGTCTGTCTAGCGTCTAGTAAGTAAGCGGGCCTTGAGAGTCAGGGCATCCTGGGACTGGAATGAGTGCTAAGGACTGGCTAAACGAGGGCAGATGCCGGCTCTTTTGTTAGCCTGTGACAGATCCCGAGCCCTCCCTGCCCCCTAGCGCCACCACCCTGGAATGCCCATTCTGTGGCTCTTTTAGAGACCTGAAGGACAGAGGGTGCCTGGTGGCTCAGTTGGTTGAGCATCCAACTTTGGCTCAGGTCATAAATTCACAGTTACAGGGTTTGAGTCTCACTTTGGACTTTGCACTGACAGCATGGAGCCTGCTTCAAATTCTCTGTCTCCTTCTCTCTCTGACCCTCCCCAGCTCACACGCATATTCTCCCTCTCTCTCAAAGTTAAACATTAAGGAGGGAGGAGGTTGGAAGGGAGGTAGGGAGGGAGGGAGGAAGAAAAATAAAGGAAGAGAGAGAGAGAAAGGGAGGGAGGGAGGAGCGAGCGAGCGAACGAACCTGAATGACAGAGATGAAGAAACCCTGCAGAAACGGCATCTGAGGTCCTTGCATAGGAGGCCATGTGTGACCCTGGGAAAAGCCATGCATGGAGAAGCTGTCAGTCTTCTGAGGAAGGCTGTGACTCATCCATGGCCACACAAGAGCCTGAAGGCAGAATAAAGCATGGCTGCAATCTAGAATTCTTTTTAAACTTTGTAACCAACTTGACAATAAACTATTTGTAAAATAAATAAATAAATAAATAAATAAGTAAATAAAAATAAAATAAACTTTGTATTATGGATAATTCCAAATACACTACTAGTGATCAAGTCATGGCTAATCTCATTTCATTTATATCCCCACTCCCTTTCCACTTTCTCCTACCGTCCCCTACACTGGATCTGAACAAATCCCAGTTTCACCAGTGAATACTTCAGGGTATATCTCCAGAGTTATGGTAGAGCCTAAAACTCATGAGTTTTGAACCCTCTTCTTGGGTTCATTCACTGAGAACAACCCTCGAGTGGAGACCAGCCCTCCTCTGGGTCTCCATGCATATAAATTTTCTGTCCTCTAGATTGGCTGCCTCCTTCCTACTCCCAGGTCACAGAGGGTTTCTGTTTCAGAAAATGGAGATGCATGATGAACATGTAGGGGAGTTTCCATTCCCACAGTGGTTGTTGGAGCTTCTGCCTCTACCCTGTTTCCAGCAGGTTTTAAGCAGAACATTTTATTCATTTTTAAAGGACAAAGCTCCTTGCTTTAGCTAAAATGTTTTTTTTTTTTTTTTTAAATGTTTTTATTTATTTCTAGGAGAGAGACAGCGTGAGCAGGGGAGGGTCAGAGAGAGAGGGAGACACAGACTGAAATAGGCCCCAGGCTCTGAGCTGGCAGTCAGCACAGAGCCCGACGCAGGGCTCGAACCCACGAACCATGAGATTATGACCCAAGCGAACCAACTAAGCCACCCAGGCGTCCCTAGCTAAAATGTTTTTATTGTTTTTTTGTTTTTTTTTTTAAAGCTTGTTTACTTTTGTGGTTATTTTCCTTAACTACAATGAACTTGTGTTTCTGGTAGACTCACGGTCTAAGAATATGCTAGTCTGAGGACCGTTCTCCCCTCCTGCACTGTGACATCATGAGCTGCCTGTGACAGTGTGCCTGTGTGTCCCAAGTTGCTGGAAGTTCAAAGCCTTCTCTGTCCTGTTGAATTCATGGCTCTCCCAGAAAAGCTTAGACTACCCCTGGTTTGTCCTGAACTGGGATTGCATTTCCCTTGGGTAACCCCGGCCCTTCTGTGATAGGAGAGTGCTGGAAGAGCAGAGCAAGCAGGACTGCCAGCCACTGCGGGCAGGAGAGGCACCTCACAGGGCCCCGACTGAGCAGCAGCACTACGTGGGGGATCTGAGGCAGCGGATCCTAGCAGGACAGATTAGAGCCAAACAGGAACTGAAGTTTGACCAGGAGCACCTCAGCTGGCAAATTAAAGACAGTAGGTGCCCACTGCTCACAGTGTCTGCTTCACCTTCTCATCTATTCATTTTCATGGTTCCGCATCCTTCTGTATTCTCTCCTTTGTTTCCTTTATGATTTGATGGAATCTTTGGTATTATGTGTTCTCTCCCCCCTTTTAGAAACCAGGGGCTCTTATGAGGGGCTGGAAGCAAGAATAAGGAAACTGCCTTCCTTATTGCCCCTCAGAGTGATGGACCTCCCGCTTTCTCTTCACGCACACATTTATTCATCCTTTGGCGCCTGTCCCAGCATGTGCTAATCCCTGGGGGCTTCCTTCCCTAGCCCTGTGGTAAGGGGGCCTGGTATCTCTCATCCCGTCACATCACCTTGGCCAGCACTTTCCCTCCATTCAGATCCAACCACAGACAGAGGTGTGTGAGTCTGGGCCACACAGGTAGGGAGAGAGGTGCTGACCTTCTCACAGGGTGTCTTTGGTTCCCAGACCATCAGTGGCTGCTTAGAGAAGAGCCCCGGCTGGCTGGCTTGCAGCAGCAGCAGCAGCAGCAGCAGCAAGACCACATAGCAGAGAAAGAACTCAAGGCTTGTGTGCCGTCTGATGCTTGGCTCCAGACAGATCCTGAGACTCAGCCGCCCCCACTGGTCCGAAGCCAGAAGAAGGAGGTGCGACTGCAGCTTGGGCGCAGGAACGCAGTTCGTGCAGCACAGAGGGACATCTGGCGAAGAAAGGCCTCCTTCCAGCTTGAGAGACTCATCAAGAAGCAGAGGCTGCTCGAGGCCCAGACGGATCTGGAGCAGCCTAAGGCATTGTGTGAGCTCCACGATGACCACACCCAGAAGCCCACATACCGGTTCCCCAGCGCTGACGCCACGGTCCGAGGAGCTCTGCACAGAAGCAGACTGCCACATTGCCGTGCTTTGAGCCTCCAGAGGCTCTGCAGTCAGTATTTGCCTCAGCTACGCAGGTACAGCCAGCCGTGGTCACCTGAAATCATGGACTTAGGTTTACAGCCTTGTTGCCCAGGCAGTGTTCTTTACTTCCCAGTGCTGCAGTTCCTCGGTCTGTGGAAGGGGAAGATTTGCTTCCTCTCTTTCCCACCACTTTTTCCCTCTTCTTTCTCTCTAGGTGAGATCTTCTAAGATTCAGGCTTTTCCCTTCTCCCACCCTGAGTGGCAACTCTTGCTGCTTTGGTGATATCTTCCAAGTGAGGATCTCAGCCTCATTTTTCACCTGCTCTTTAGACCTTGGCTGTGCACATACGTTCCTGTGTGTGTCCTCCCACCACCTCCATCTCCTCTTGCCTCACATCAGACTGTGTTTCCACACGCTTCCTCCTCCTCCTCCCTGCTTCCCACCTGTCCTGCCACCTCAAGTGAGCTTCCTGACCCTACCTTCCTACTGGTGAGCTAATAGAACACTAGCTGACTCCTGCGTCCAATTTGGGATCTTTGTTTTTTCTCCGTCACTCATTATATTCAGTCAAGGTGAAGGTGGAGTGTGTCAACTTCCCTAGATCCTCCAGGCCTACCCCAGGGTCTTGGATATAGTATGTGTACTCTTCATGCTTTTTGGTTCTGTTTGCTCTGTTTGAAGACTTTTTATTAAAAATTTTCAAACATACACTAAGTTGAGAGAATAGTGTGCCTATCACCCACATTCAGGAATTTCCAAGATCGACCATGTTTGCTTTAATCTCCTTGCCTTCCTTTTTCTGATGAAGTATTGTTATTTATTTATTTGTTTATTTTGAGAGAGAGTGCGTGAGCACACAACTGGGGGAGGGGCAGAGAGAGGGAGAAGAGAATCCCAAGCAGCCTCCACACCACTAGCGCAGAGCCCAGTGCAGGGCTCAAAATCACGAAACTGTGAGCTCATGGGGCGCCTGGGTGGCTCAGTCGGTTAAGCGGCCGACTTTGGCTCAGGTCATGATCTCACGATTCATGGGTTCGAGCCCTGCGTCGGGCTCTCTGCTGGCAGCTCAGAGCCTGGAGCCTGTTTCAGATTCTGTATCTCCCTCTCTCTCTCTCTGACCCTCCCCTGCTCAGTGTGGTCTCTCTCTCTCTGAAATTAAAAAAAGAAAAATTAAAAAAAAAAAAGAAAAGAAAAAGAAACTGTGAGCTCATGACCAGGGCAGAAAACGAGTTGGTCACTTCACCAACTGAGCCACTCAGTCTCCCCTCTGATGAAGTATTTTTAAAGCAACTCCTAGATACCATGTCATTTCAATCTTACATCAAGTATACACTTCAAAAAATAATGACTTTTTCTTAGAACCACATTTTTATTATTCACCTAACAAAATTAACATTAATTATTCAATATAATCCAAAACCTAGGGCATATCTAATTTCTCCAGTTGCCTCAAAAATATGTATTTACAGTTAGTTGTTCAAATTAAGATCCAAATAGAATTTACACATTGCATGTGGTGATGTCTTTTAAGTTCCTTTTAATCATTTTTTTGTTTCATTTTTAATCTTCATATCACTGATTTGTTAAAAGTGTATCAGTTCTGTAGAATATGCTGCTTTATAGGTTTGCCTGTTTGATCCCTTGCAGTGTCATTTAGATGGTTCCTCTGTTCCTCACGCTGCCTATTAAATGGAAATTTCCCCTAAAGGTATGCTTACATTCAGATTCAGTTCGATTTTTCTTATAAAGTAAAGAAATTAAGGAACAGAATATACCTGAGTCTCTTTGTAGCCAGGACTATAGTCCAAAGTTGTTTTTTGTACCTTTAGAGCTTTTCTCTGACCTCAAATGCTAGGGGATGGTGACATTGGCCTAATTTTTAACCTCTTTTTGAGAAAACTAAGTGAGACTTTATATACCCTCTGTGAGCATGCAATAGGGACCTTCTACTTTTCTGAGATGGATTTCCTTGTCTCCACAGTATTTTCCTGAATCGAGATCCCTTCACCATGCTACCTCCTTTGCCTGACCCTACTGACCAAATATCAGAGACAGTTCCATCAGAAGAAAATTTGTCCCAGGCTGCTTCTTACCCTCCAAGGACAGGGTGTTTCAGCAAGAATGCCTTCTTTTCCTCAGGCAAGGGGCATCTCTGCAAAGCCAGGGGGGCCTTGGCAAGGAAAGGAGCCACAGCCTCAGGTACCTGTCTCACTGTGAGTTCTGAGTCTCCCAGCATCCAGGAAATGGAGAATGTGGGTAAGCAGCCCTGTTGGATGATGTCCCAGAGCTTAGCATCTCTTGACCATTCAGCTAACAAACTAAAGCCAAGGGACGAGCCAGAAGCACTCAGCCTTTCCACCTATACCAAGAGGGGTAGGGGACTAGCGGACTCTGACCACACACGAGCAGGGTGGCGAAGAGAAGGGAACCTTGGGACCCACAAGACTGCTAAAGGAGCCAGATGCAGTTCCTCACATCCCCGTGGATCCAAACAGGCATCTGGACATGGAAAGGCAGCCAGGACTTTCCGGGTAGAATCCAAACCACCTTCTTCAAGCAAGGCATCAAAAAGGCAGCAGAGGGTGCTAGTAGCCAGGGCCAGAGACATGGCCAGAAAGTCCTCTTGTTTGCCTCATGGCAGCCCTCTGAGGCAGTACAGTGCAGGAGACCCAGACTCCACATCCTCACTCACAGATTGCAGCCCAAGAATGGATCGTGTAAGAGAGAAAGATGGTGACTTATCTGATGCAGATAGCAGTTACTCAGTGGATTCTCTTTCCTGTGTCTATGCCAAAGCCCTAATGGAGCCACTGCAGCCAGAGGACCCTCAGGGGAAGGAACAGGATCTCCCAGAATCAGAGAACTCCGAAAGTGATGACAGCCAAATATCTGAGGACTCGCTGGCTGAGAAAGAGTACGAAAGCCCGCCAGACAGCCCAGGGAGCAGCTATCTCACCAACTGCCACAGCCACCCCAGGGCCAGAGCCAGAGCCCCTGGGAGGGGCTTCACCACGTCCTCAGACAGTGGACTCTTCACCCAAACTTGCAGGAGCTTTTCCTTGGATAGCCTGATTGATGCCAAGGAAGAACTGGGGGAAGATCAGCAAGAGCCTTTCTTCAGTTCGGCTGATGAGATGCCTGCAGAGACATTTTGGCACCTGCAGGCCTCCAGCCTGCCCAGAGTGGACCAGGAGGCAATGTGCAGGCTTGGTCCCATTAACTACAGAACAAGAGCCAGGCTGGATGCCATCCTGCCAGTGAGCAGTTCATTTTACCTTGGTCCCTCACCCCAGCCGCACTGTGAACACCCTGAGTCGGAGGTAGAGGCGAGCTCCTCTGAACAAGCAAACACACTCCAAGGCCGGCAGCTTTCAAGAGGGAGCCCTCTGTTGTCCATGGATTCCTGGTTTTCCTGTGACTCCAAGATCAATTCTAGCAGCCCTTCAGGAATAGTGGGTTCCTTATGTCCAAGTCCTGATGTCCAGGAATTTCAACCCCAAGGTTGTGAGAAGCCTGGACAGTCGCAAAATATGGAAGAACTCAAGCCATCAAGAGCAGAAATACCCCTGCCCTATAGCTCCAAAGTGCCTCAAGGCGGCGCTGAGCTGCCCTGCCATATAAGAGGTGTGTATACAATCCCTGCCTCTGATACGTCCAGCCTGTCATTCTGGGGATCATACAGACTTCTTCAGCCACGAGTTGCTGGCATTTTTCGGGCCAGAGGTACCCCTGACACAGCCCAGCAGGGCAACTTGGAAGCATCCAACACCTCCAGCCTGTCAAGTGTTTTAGCTGCCTCTGCCTCCTCGTTCACTCATGTAGGCAGTGTGCCTGAGAGGGACTGGGCTGCCCTTCAGCAGAAGTACCTCCTTCAACTGTCTCATCCTGCTCTGGAGGCTGTGAGAGAGCCTGGGCCAACTTTCCCCTCCCTTGAAGAAGATTCTGCTTCCTTGACCCAAGCTTCTGGCAAAGAAACAGATACTCTATTGCTAGTTGGTTCTGGGTTGTCTAGCAGCCTGGATTTCAGCACCTTTCCTCTCCATTTTTCCAAAATTAGGCGTTTGAGAGCAGAGAAAGAACAGGACAGTCTGAGTGCCGAGTTAGAAGGTACTTCAGATTTCTTTACAACTAGAGAGAAAGAGGTGAGTCATAGTGGAACTTACTCAGCAGATGTAGAATCGTTGACTTCTGGAACTATAAATGCACCGGTCTTTGTAGCCGAGAACAAGGTGGCAAATTCTATGCCAGAAGCACGTGAAGGTGATCAGAACAGCTTGGAAGAGTCTTCGCAGAGTGATGGGAAGCCTGGACTGATGACTTCCTCTGATGAATGTTTCTTTCTCAAGAGCCCGTATCACAGTAATGTCACCGTGGCCACTAAAGAAAACCATTGGTCCCAGGGCTGGGCTCCTCTCAGGAAGAATAGTGCAGGCCAGGAGGGACAGTTAAGTCCGAGCAGCTATCTGCGTCTGCAGGAGGAGAGGGTAGACTATCAGGAGAGCTCCAGGGAAGTGGTTGGAAGGCACACGAGCGTTTCATTTCCATCAGGTCCAGAACCGTACCCTGACTCTGCTGCCCAGAAGCCATTCCCATCTTCCTTGCAGCCGCCTCCCTTGGAGACATTCTATGTGACCAAAAGCCGGGATGCCCTGACAGAAACCGCCTTAGAGATTCCGGCTTGCAGAGAATCAAGAGTGCCTTCCCCACCCCCCAGGGAAGCTTGGGGCTTTGGTCATGACCACCAGCTTCTCCAGAACGTTTATGTGAAGGATCATTTGCCAGTGCTGTTACAAAACCAGAATTCCAAGATTGCCTCATCTCAGCAGGTCACAGCAGGGAGGCCAGTTCATCTGAACACCAAGGAAGTTATCAGAGAAATGGGGAAATGCCCTGGAAGTATTGAAGAAGAAAGCCATAAATCAGTTTATCTTTTTGTTGCTCAGAACAGACATTTTCTTTCATCTACTAGCACAAAAGTATGTGAGTGTGAAAATCAAGTTGGAATTTTAAATAAACCCAGTCTTTCAGCACTTAAGGAAGAAGAAAAGGCCACTATACAGTCCTATTGCAGTGTTTCCTCAAACCATTGTAGGTCTAGGAAGCCTCTCCTTGTTTGTGAGTCTGAGACAGATGGGGAAGAAGAGCAGGATCACCAAGTAGTCCTCAGACAGACCCAGGCCTTTAATATGAACAGACAGTTTCCTTCTGGGGCCAAATCTGATTTCATCTATAAAACCATCAATTTAGCCATTGACGAGGACATGCTGGGGGAAACTGCTGTTTCTTTGCAGTCCAGATCAGTATGTCATAGAGTAAACGGCCCAGAGATGGTGGTCCAGGATGAGAGTCCAGTGCACAAGGGTGAGGGGAAGAATGAATCTGGGCCTCTTGGGAAATCTCTCCATTCCAGAGGCAGCTCAAAGGAGCTTAAGCTTCCACAGATGGAGTCTACATATGAAAGATTCCAGTCAGTTATAAGCACTCAGGAAAAAAATCAGAGTGAATGCAAGGGCCCTAGAAGATCACAAGAAACATTAAACCCCAAAGAAGAACCTTCTGGAAGGAAAGAGAATAAAAGAGTTAACAATGCTGATGAAATGGCCAGGCTAATTAGGAGTGTAATGCAGCTGGAAAATGGCATCTTAGAAATTGAATCCAAGCAAAATAAGCAGCTATATGCTTCCCCAACACCGGGAGTCAGTAAGGAGTTTGTGTTCCAGGACCAGAGGGACTGGGAGATGCCTGACTATGTTCTGAGGCCAGGCATCTCTGGTAGCTTGGGAAGTCTTGAGGAACTGGAAACTGTGAAAGGTTTTCAGGAAAGCCAAGTTGCCAAACATAGAAGTAGTTCTAAGAAAAAGGGGCCAAAAGCTCAAGGCGGAGTTGAGGAAATGACTCTGCAAAGGGGAGGGAGCCTACTGGAGGAAGGTAAAATGGTCTCATCGACTCAGAATAGCTCAAGCCCACATTATGTAAGCAGTTCTTTCAGCCAGGAGACTGGCCTATTGCTTAGCCAGTCAGATTCCTCTGTAGCTCCTCACAGAGACCTGAGTGGTACCTTGCCTTTGGATTCCCCAAGGCTACCAAGAAACTATCTTCATGCATGTGATTCTGTATGCATTTCTCCAGTTGACTATGTGCTGGATCCCACAATATTGAAAATGCCTAACAGTCCTTTGGTAACTAGAGCAGGAGATCAGGACCAGACTGGAGAGCCCCAAAGCCATAGCCCTCAGGGAGATGTTAGAGGGGGCTCTTCCTTGGCACACAGTGCTTGGTGTGAGTCCGTGATAGCTATGGCCGTGGCATCTCGTGGTCAGTCCCATGTACCAGAGAGTATTCCCCTGGGTGCAGAGAGCAGGAGATCAGCAAACACCCAAGACCAAAGAGGGAACCTTGGAAACATCTCAGTGGGCTTGATTCCCAGAGAGAGTTTTGCATTTGAAGCCAAGGCCGCAATACAAAGAGGATTGGAAAGAGCCAGTCCCCTGAAAAGAGTCTCTAGCCCACTCGAAAACAAGACTAGCTGCCTCTTAGAAGAGGGTAACAGTCAAGGCCAGCAGGCAAAGCAGAAGGCAGTAAAGGAGGCCACGGACCTCAGTCCTACTGCTGGTGCTTTCTCAGCACCTGTGTCCCTGCCGAGGGTGCCTCACTCAGAGCACTGTGCTCATACATCTATGGATCTGGCTGTGTTAGAGATCAGAGAATCAAAGGCCCACGGAAAGCAACTTCATGGCTTAGGGGCTAATGGCAGTGTTCTTTCTTACTATGAGACTTTATTAGAAGCTAAATGTTCTTCAGGGGCCCATCGTAGGCCTCAGTGTCCACAAAGTGACCAGTCAGTGTCAGACAAGACCAGGAATGAGGATGACGCACGAGGATTTTATGTGACATCTCTCTCTACTGAGCCAGAACATCTGTCAACTGATGAAGCCACACCCCTCCCTGTGGACAGCTTTCAACATCTGCCCAACACTGAAACTAAAACAGGGCCACGGCATCCCTCACAGACTTCCTCCCATGAAGCCCCTGCTCCAGGCAAAAGCCATTGTATTGGAGAACTGAGACATTTTCTGGGAGCTGGTGAACAGTTTCTATGTCACTGTAGCTCTTCTGAAATCATAGAGAAAAAGAAAAAAGCAACCAGAACACCTTCCTCTGCTGATCCTGTGAGCTCAGACAGTTTTCCTTCAACAGTGGTAGAGGACAGGAGGGAAAGATCAGAGAAAATAGTGGCTACCTTATCTTGTTGCACCCCTTCTGGTGATCCTGAGATGATTCTATGTGGGGGAAGCCAGTTAGCTCCATGGGAGAGTGCAGAAGGTTCACGTCCTGGTGGTCAGGAGACCAACCCAGTACATCAAGAACCTAGAATTCTAGATACCACTCATGGAGGAGGTTCAGGGAATTTCTTAGTGGCTACCCAGGGAGGAAAAACAACCTATTCTGAAAGTCAGCTTCTGACATGTGATGTTCAGAATTCTGTCAGCCTCTCAGGATGTACCCAAAACCGTGGCCAATGCCTTGAGAATTCCATTGGGTTAGAGGAAAGGAGGGAAAGTCCCAAACAGGCTGCCATCCTACCTGAAGTTCAGGAAGAGTCCCAGTGTAGACACCCACAGGAAACTTTAGACTGTGTTATCATCTCGGAGGGCATTGAAGGCAACAGGACTCTTAGTCCACCTAGGGAGCAGGAAGACAGCGGAACACCGCCTTGCCGACATCTTTGCAATCCTCAACCCATTGATTCTCGTGCCTGTGCATCCCCACCCTCCACTTTATCATGTTACAGAGACAGTGACCTGAGGAAGGGAAGTTCCAAGGCTGCCCTACGTACTCTCCAGCCACCCTGCATAGTACCTTCCAGAGCCTGTGGAATGGATGAGAGAGGGAAAAGCTATTCTAGGGCACCTGAAGTGCTCTTGGCTTCTGGCCTTGAACCCAAAGGCATTCATGTAGAATTTGGGCCAGCAGATAGCAGCACTTGGGAGCCTTCCACTTCTGCTGTCCTATCTCTGGCTCAAGGGGGCATCTCCCCTTCTGCCCCTGATATGAGGACAGGTTTCTTGAGCCACTCAGTGGCTGATGGAAACTCAAGGTCAGGGGGGGATCCTGAGAAAAAGGTTGCTGAGAAGAAAGCCAGCCTAGAGCCTGAGGTTACCTTTTCCTCTGCAGACCTGTACTCTGAGCCACTGAGGGAGTTTCAGAACAGCTCTGTAGGTGGGCAGAATGCACAGGAGTCTCAAACCAAACGAGAACCACCTTTAACAACTGGGAGACCATACACTCTGAATTTAAGTGAACGGTCTATTGAGAGTGAGATTCTAGGGGAACCTCAGGATGGATGTTTAGAAAATGCCATCCAGTACCTTCCAGAAAAACCACAACTTTCCACTGAGTCCAGAGATCACAGTGGATTGGATCCCCAAGCCAAGTTTGTAGCAAAGTTAAAACACATCTCTAGGCACCAAGCTGACAGTCCCTGGGAGGAGGAAGAGCAGCAGAGAGACGAGGCTTTGGGTGGTGGGAAAGAGCCTGCCCAGGGCAGGAGCTCCCAACCTTCCCCTGAAGGTGGCTTGGACAGCTGTCATATTACAGATGCAGACAGAGAGGAAGCATCTGCAGCCCATCCCTCTGTGTCCAGGATGCTTTCATCAGGCTTTGAAGACTCAGTCTCCATGCCCTTGGGGCACAGTGGAGCCCCATGGCCCACACCCCAGAGCCCTGGCCTGCCTGAATCTAGGGAGCAGCCAGCTCCCCACCACAGGTGCTCATTTCCTGTGATTGCAGTCTTTTCTGGCCCCAGACACTCCAGGTCCTCCCCCAGACCACAGTTCTCTTCCCAGACTCTTCATGAGCTGAACTTGAGTGTGGAGCCTCCTTCCCCCACAGATGAAGATGCACAGGAGACTAACAGATGGTGGACTCCCCATCCCAGTGATTATTCAAAGGAAAAGTCAGCAGCGAGAACAACTCTGCAAGATGAGGGATGTAATCAGAAAGCCTCATCTAACTGGGACAAGAGCACTGCTGATCACCAGCCCCCACAACCTGCCAACCCTCCTTACCCAAAGTCCTCAGCTCTTTCTTGCACGCCAACCCCCGACTCCATGACAAGCTGGATCTCTAGTACCCTGGAAGAGACCTGGCAGGAAAATCCAGAGGGACCTGGCAGCCAGGCCAGGTCAGAGAAGTGGCACTACACGGCAGACAAAGGAACGATACACTTTGGCTCCAGTGACATCAGTCCCTACATCTTGTCCTCATGTCCAGAGGGGCCTGTGCACGTTGGCTGGAAGCAATATGTGTTTGGCAGTGCAGTGGATGTCTCCTGTAGCCAGACACCCCAGGGCCCAATTCCATCAGACATGGCCAGTTGTTCAGGCATGGATGATGGCCCAGAAGACCAGAACTCTCAGCTCCATTCCCACCTCAGCACTTATGCCAATGCCCTGGGGAGCACACACAGCAGCATTGGAAATGCCCACGTTTCACATGAGGCCTGGGATTCCTCATGGGGTTCCTCGTTTGCTTTGGGGAACCCCCACATCCTGAACAGCAATCCTGAAGCAGCAATCCCCGGTAAGGGTCCTGACAAGAGAGCCCAGATCCCGGGTACCCCTGAAGAAGCAGGCTCTCTGAGGAGTGAGCCCATCTTGGCAGAAGGAAGTGCTGCAGGTGCAGTAGATGAGATTATGCTGCTGTATCCATTAGAGGCATGTGGCCCTGTGGGGCCGCCCAGGACGAACACCTTGGAGCAGGGCACGCAGACCCTGGGCTGCAGTGTCCACTGGAGCTCCACTGACATCTCTACTCAGCCAGAAACCAGTGCAGTGCCAGACTCTGGTCTGGTCTCCTGGACTAGCGTGCACAACCTGTCTCTCCACCTCTCACAGCTGCTACACAGCACCTCGGAGCTGTTGGGGAGTCTCTCCCAGCCAAGTGTGGCCGAAAAGGAGCGGAACATCAAGAGGGCGTCCCCAGATGAGGTGACCCAGGCCCTAATGATGGATGGCTATACTCAGACCACCGTGGATGAGGGCATCCAAACTGACCTGGCCTTGCCACCTCTGTACCTTCCAGCCCCAGAGGCCAACCCTCCGGAGGTCAATGTGGTCCTTGAAGTGCTGGGCTCAGATATCCCCACCATGTCTCAAAAAAACAGAAATGCCACAGGAACCCTTCAGAAGAGAGAATTAGAGGAAACTGCATGGAAAATGGCAGGGCCCTCAGAATCTCAGGAAGAAAGCCTCCACTGCAGGGCCCTGAGCTTTCCAGGAACCCCATCCCATTTGAGGCTTCAGAAAGCCCACTTTGGGCAGAACCTCCCTTCTCTGAGCCCTCGGGCTTCTCCTGATTCCTCCCTGCTTCCCAGCTCCCAGCCAGAGGAGCCCTCCTGCCTGGCTGTCACCAGCCCCAGCCTCAAAGGCTCCCACTCCCCAGGGCCCTGCCCCAGTCCTGCAGAGTCCATGGGGAATCCTAAGGTCCAGAAAGAGCTGGACACCATGGGTACCTTATTGGTGGACAGAGCCTCCTCCCCAATACTCACACTCAGTGCCAGCACCCAGGGATTGGGGCTCTCCCCAGACTCTTTGTTTCTCACAGCCCCCTCAGCTTGTCCTTTTGAAGGCTACCAGAAACTTGTCTCCAGTCCAAACCTTCCCCTGGATTCCCCCAGGCCTTCAGTGGATAATTATTCTCAAACTGCTAATGAGTCTGGTGGCTCCCAGAGAGTGGGGACTTCATGTGGGAAAGGCAGAAGTCTCTTAGAAAGTAGTGATGGCAGGTCGTTCCTTGAGGTGAGATCCCTGGGCAGTCCACCGCAGAGCCCAAAACTCCAAGTGTGTTTTTTAGAGCAGCCCCCTCAGCAGCTTCAGCCCAAGACCACTACCTTGGTCCAGAGCAGACCACCATTACTCTCACTGAGGAGCCAGAGCCAGAGCCTGGCTGAGGGCTTTGTGCCTGAGGACGTGGCTTCCTTGGACTGTGGCTCACTGAGCAGTAGGGGGCCAACTGAATGGTGGAGCAAGACAGAAAATGAGGGTGAGAGTTCAGCATCTCCAGTGGAGCCACAACCCAGTCTGGACTTTTCAAGGGGAGGCCTCCACCACCTCAGCCCCTGCCCTGTCTCTGAGTTGACTGCTACTGCAGGGCTCCAGGGTTCCACTTTGAGCCCTACCTGCCAATCTGAGGTGCTACTGAGCTCCAGTTCCCAGATATCTGTGGCTGCTGAGCCCCAGCATCATGGCCTGAGGGACTCGGTGCATAACAAAGTCAGTCATTGGAGTGGGATTCAGGATGGCTCTCCTGGGGAACTAGGTGTGATGGAGTCACTGGGGACCAGGTGTGATCTTAGCTCTGGAAAGTGGGGACAGAAGCCCCTACAGCCTCCTGACAACCAGAGCCAGGATTCTGAGTGGTCCCAGAGGAAGCAGGTCCCCTTGCATATTGGGGCTCAGAGTGTCTCACTCAGCACAGAGCTCACAGAAGCGAAGCTGCACCACGGCTTTGGGGAGGCCGATGCCCTGCTGCAGGTGCTGCAAAGTGGGACTGGGGAGGCACTTGCTGCTGAGGAGCCACTGCGGTCCACCTGGGAGGAGCTCTATGCCCGGTAAGTGCCCCCAGCCTGCTGTGGAAGGGCAGGCGCTGTACTGAAAGAGAACTGCACAAGGCTAATAGCTAGCTGTTCCTTTCTCCCCTGCTCAGCTCTGGGATCTTCTGGGGATCAGAGAGCTTAAGATGGAGAAGGCCATTCAGGGCCGCTTCAATGAATCCATCACATTTTGTCTCAGGCAAAAACAAACCATTGAGGCTCTCTGGAGAGAGCGAGCTGAACGACTTCAGAACTTACACCACACACGGAACCTCAGCCCCCAGAAACAACTGAGCCTCCTACCCAGCAGGGATCTCCCCATCCGGGACCTTGACCTACCCAGCAGGCGCCGAGAATACCTACAGCAACTGAGGAAAGATGTTGTGGAAACCACCAGGTATGGGCAGACCCAGGGACTCTGCAGAGAGCAGATTGTACATGGAGTGGGAGGGCTGTGGGGGGCTGGGCCTGGAGAGTGGGGACTGCAGCTCCCTTTGGACAGGAGTGATTCCAAGAGTGGGTCCTATGCTCCTGTGGGCAAGTGGAGGTGGCTGGGGAAGGCTGGGGGAGAATGGGGTAAAGGGAAAAAGGAAGATGTAGAAGGGAACAGGGTGGTGGGGACAGAGCTCATGGGAGAGAGTGGACAGAGTGGCTGTGACCTTCTGTATAAGACAGCAGTCCTGAGCCTCAAAATGGGTTGTAAAACCAAACTGTGGTCAAAAAGAAGATGGGTCCTTCAAGAGGATGGTTGAATAGGTAAGCAGGCCAAGGCCATCACCCATGCACCTGCCATGGTAGAAGGCATCTCTCCACCCTGTGGTCTTCCTTAGGAGCCTAGGATCGGCATCACGGTCTTATCCTGCTTCAGACATAGCACTGATGCTGCAAGAATACCAGCACGCCCGCGAGGAGGCCAAAGTGGAGATTGCCCGGGCCCGGGCCCGGCTGCAGGAGCGGACTGAGCAGGAGAAATTGAGAATCCGCCAGCAGATCATCTCCCAGCTGCTGAGGGTGGGGTGTGGGGCAAGCCGGTGATTCTGGGTGGGCCTGGAGCCTGGGGCAGATGCCAGACCAGGGCAGCCTTCACCTGGACTGCCTTGGAGTCTTGGGATATAGCCTTTGGAGGAAGGTGTTGGACTACTAGTGCCAGCTTATAGCTGTGCTCGCTCTTTTTACATGTCACCTTCCTCTGACTGGCTTCTGTCCCCAGGCCAAAATCTGGGAGGCGGCAGCTTTGGCTTAGAGAATGGATAGGTATGTGGGGAGGCATGAGGGTTGGTTTCACACCGTGGTAGAAGGCACTGGGGAAGTGAGGGGAGTGGTTTCAGGGGCAGAGAGGACGGAGAAGGTGCACCAGCAGCTGGTTGCCAGCTGTCTATCCTCTCAGGAAGAAGAAAAGCTGCACACGCTGGTTGCCTCCAGCTCCCTGTCTACCAGCTCCAATGGAAGCCTCTCCTCTGGTCTTACCTCTGGCTACAACAGCAGCATCGCCTTATTGTCGGACCAGCTCCAGTCCCCAGACAGCGTGGTGAGTGGACAGATGCTAGCAATGAGCCACGGGCCAGAGCCACTGAGGCAGGAGTTGGGGCAGGAAGTTCTGCCTCCTGGAGGCTCTTGCTGACATGAACCCTTCTCGTGGATGATAGATAGGCTTTGGACTCTCCCTTGGTTTTGTCTCCTCCCTGTTTGTTCATTCAGCTTGTGTTCATTTTGTAGGTACTATTTTAGCCACTGGGGATACAGCAGTGAGCAAAACTGTCCTTGTTCTTAAACCATTAGAGGGATATGCACAGCTTATTGTAAGAGTATTTAAGCACTGTTGCAGTCAGCTATGTGAAGAAGGGGTTCTAAGCCAGTATAAAATGGGATCTGACCTGGAAGGTCAGCAAAGATGCTCTGAAGAGAGTGCGCTTAAAGTGACACCAGAAGTGTGAGAGGCAGTTAATGGAGTAGCAGCTTAGTGTCTGGTGTCAGGAGGGATTGGGGAGGGGGAGCAGTAGGGAGCACAGCCTTCCAAGCAGAGAGCTTGACAAGTGAGCCAGAGGGAGGAAGAATTTGAAGAACTAAAAGAAGGCTAGCATGGCTGGAATATGGTAAGACGGGAGAATGACTTGAGGAAGGACTAGAAAAGGCCAGATCACATGGATTCTGCTACTAATTCTGGCCCCCTTCAGGTCCATGGTACTTCCCAGAAGCTGTTCTAAAGCTTTGAAGCCAGGGGAGCAGGATGATGAAGTTATAGGAAAAGGGGGCAGGGCAGCTGTGGCTGGGGCCGGGGATGATCACAGCAAAGCCTGGTGAGAGTCGCCCATTGCCAGGTGTGGGCCCTGCAAATGGCAATGAGCACAAGGGGCCCATGGGGCTGCCCTGGACAGAGCACATCCACAGGACGCAGAGGAAGGAGGAGGGTGGAGTCAGAAACAACACACACTTTTGTCTTGAGCAGCTGATGGAGCAGTTGTGGTGACTGTGAGGCACTGGGAGAGGACAGGTTTTGTGGGGAAGATCAGGAGTCTAGTTTGGGACTTACTGTCTTTGAAGTGTCTGTGAGAAATGCAAAGGGAGCAGCTGGAAACACAGATCTGGAGCTCAAGGTAAGATCTGGCCAGGGATATAAAATTTGAAAATCGCTTTATAGTAAAACTTCATGTAGTAAAAACTAGTTTTCAGACAGTAGCAAAGGACATATGATGCCAAGTTCATTCTTTCAGTCTCCTGTTGCCCTGCCCAGAAGCAATCATCTATCCCAGTATGCTGTGGATTTCTGAAGGTATTCTGAATACATTCTATGTCTTAATATCTATAAGAATGTGCATATTTTTAAAAAAATTTTTTCTTTTTTAATACGTGTTTTTCTATATTTTAATTTTTAAAAATTTCTTTTGTTATATACATATTCTTTTTCTTTTTCCCTTTCTTTTAGATTTTATTTTTAAGTAGTCTCTACAACCCCAGGGTCAAAAGTCACATGCTCTTCTGACTGAGCCTGCCAGGTGTCACATGGTGGTTTTTTTCTTTTAATCTTTTTTTTTTTAGAATGTGTGTTTCTAAAGCACACGAATGGCAGCCACAGTGACCTGCTTTGTCACTTTTCTTCCTTAAGAATGTCTTTTGGACATCATTGCACACCAGCAAATCTGCTGCTGACTCATTCTTTTTAAGTTAGTGGAGTTTTTTTCTCTTTTATTGCATGGTTTTATTAATTTATTTATTTTGATATGTATATAGATGTAGGTTTTTTTTTTAACAAATAGTTTATTGTCAAATTAGTTTCCACATAACACCCAGTGCTCATCCCCAAAGTGCCCCTCTCCGTGCTCATCCCCCACTCCCCCCACATCCATCAGTCGTCAGTTTTTGTCAGCATTCAAGAGTCTCTCATGGTTTGCCTCTCTTCCTTTCCCCCACCATTTCCCCCCTTCTTCTCCCCCTTGCTCCTCAGTTATGTTCCTCCTAATCCTCCTATACGTGCAAACATATGATATTTGTCCTTCTCTGCCTGACTTATTTCGCTCAGCAGAACACCCTCAAGGTCCATCCATGTTGCTACCCATGGCCAGATTTCATTGTTTCTCATTGCCATGTAGTATTCCATGGTATAGATAAACCACATCTTCTTGATCCATTCATCTGTTGATGGACACTTAGGCTCTTTCCATGTTTTAGCTATTGTGGAGAGTGCTGCTATGAACATTGGGGTACATGTGCTCCTATGCCTCAGCATTTCTGTATCCCTTGGGTAAATTCCTAGCAGTGCTATTGCTGGGTCATAGGGCAGTTCTATTGTTAGTTTTTTGAGGAACCTCCACACTGTTTTCCAGAGGGGCTGTACCAGTTTGCATTCCCACCAACAGTGCAGGAGGGTGCCCGTTTCTCCACATCCTCGCCAGCATCTAGAGTTCTCTGATTTGCTCATTTTAGCCACTCTGATTGGCGTGAGGTGGTATCTCAGTGTGGCTTTGATTTGTATTTCCCTGATGAGGAGGGATGCTGAGCATCGTTTCATGTGTCTGTTGGCCATCTGGATGTCCTCTTTGGAGAATTATCTGTTCATATCTTCTGCCCATTTCTTCACTGGATTGTTTGTTTTTCGGGTGTGGAGTTTGGTGAGTTCCTTACAGATTTTGGATACTAGCCCTTTATCTGATATGTCATTTGCAACTGTCTTTTCCCATTCTGTCTGTTGCCTATAGTTTTATAGATTGTTTCCTTTGCCGTGCAGAAGCTTTTAATCTTGATGAGGTCCCAGTAATTCATTTTTGCTCTTGATTCCCTTGCCTTTGGGGATGTGTCAAGTAAGAAATTTTTGCGGTTGAGGTCAAGGAGGTTGTTTCCTACTTTCTCCTCTAGGGTTTTGATGGTTTCTGGTCTCACATTCAGGTCCTTGATCCATTTTGAGTTTATTTTTGTGTATGGTGTGAGAAAATGATTTAGTTTCATTCTTCTGCATGTTGTTGTCCACTTCTCCCAGCACCATCTGTTAAAGAGGCTGTCTTTTTTCCGTTGGATACTCTTTCCTGCTTTGTCAAAGACTGGTTGGCCATACATTTGTGGGTCCAAGTCTGAGTTCTCTATTCCATTGGTCTATGTGTCTGTTTTTGTGCCAATACCATACTGTCTTGATGATGACAGCTTTGTAGTAGAGGCTAAAGTCTGGGATGGTGATGTTTTCTTCTCAATATTACTTTGGCTATTTGGGGTCTTTTGTGGTTCCATACAAATTTTAGGATAGTTTGTTCTAGCTTTGAGAAGAATGAAATTTTGTTTGGGATTACACTGAATGTGTAGATTGCTTTGGGTAGTAATGACATTTTAACTATATTTATTCTTCCAATCCATGAGCATGGAATATTTTCCCATTTCTTTGTGTCTTCCTCAATTTCCTTCATAAGTTTTGTGTAGTTTTCATCATACAGATCTCCTGTATCTTTGGTTAGGTTTATTCCTAAGTATTTTATGGTTTTTTGTGCACTTGTGAATGGGATCAATTTCTTGACTTCTCTTTCTGTTGCATCATTATTGGTCTAAAAATGCAACTGATTTCTGTACGTTGATTTTGTACTCTACAACTTTGCTGAATTTATGGATCAGTTGTAGTAGGCTTCTGGTAGAGTCTGTCGGGTTTTCTATGTAGAGTATCATGTCGTCTGTGAAAAGTGACAGTTTGACTTCTTCTTTGCCAATTCTGATGCCTTTTATTTCCTTTTGTTGTCTGATGGCTGATGCTAGGACTTCCAGCACTATGTTAAACAACAGTGGTGAGAGTGGACATCCCTGTCGTGTTCATGATCTCAGGGAGAAAGCTCTCAGTTATTCCCCATTGAGGATGATGTTAGCTGAGGGTATCTCATAGGTGGCTATTATGATGTTTAAGTAAGTTCCTTCTATCCCGACTTTCTCGAGGATCTTTATTAAGAAGAGATGCTGTATTTTGTCAAATGCCTTTTCTGCATCTATCGACAGGATTGTATCATTTTTACCTTTTCTTTTGTTAATGTGATATATCACATTGATTGATTTGTGAATATTGAACCACCTTGTAACCCAGGAATGAATCCCACCTGATCATGGTGGATAATTCTTTTTATGTGCTGTTGCATTTGACTTGCAAGTATCTTGTCGAGGATTTTTGCATCTGTATTCACCAAGGATATTGGCCTGTAGTTCTCTTTTTTTGCTGGGTCTCTGGTTTGGGAATCAAAGTGATGCTGGCTTCGTAGAATGAGTCTGGAAGTTTTCCTTCCATTTCTATTTTTTGGAATAGCTTGAGAAGAATGGGTATTAACTCTGTTTTCAATGTCTGGTAGAACTCCCCAGGGAAGCCATTTGGTCCCGGGCTCTTTTTTGTTGGGAGATTTTTGATAACTGATTCAATTTCTTCACTAGTTATGGGTCTGTTCAGATTTTCCGTCTCTTTCCATGTGAGTTTTGGTAGTGAGTGTGTGTTTAGAAATTTATCCATTTCTTCTAAGTTGTCCAGTTTGTTGGCATATAATTTTTCATAGTATTTCCTGATAATTGCTTGTATTTCTGAGGGTTGGTTGTAAAAGCCCATTTTCATTCATGATTTTGCCTATTTGGGTGCTCTCTTCTTTTTGGGAAGCCAGGCTAGAGGTTTGTCAATTGCGTTTATTTTTTCAAAAAACCAACTCTTGGTTTCATTGATCTGTTCATCTTTTTTTTTTTTTTTAATTCTATATTGTTTATTTCTGCCCTAATTTTTATTATTTCTCTTCTCCTACTGGGTTTGGGGTGCTCTTGTTGTTCTCTTTTTAGTGCATTTAGGTGTGCTGTTAGATTTTGTGCTTGAGCTATTTCTAATTTCTTGAAATAGGTCTGGATTACAATGTACTTTCCTCTTAGGACTGCCTTTGCTACATCCCATAGAGTTTGAATTGTATTTTCATTTTCATTTGTTTCCATATATTTTTAAATTTCTTCTCTAATTCCCTGATTGGCCCATTCGTTCTTTAGTAGGGTGGTTTTTTTTTTTTAATATTTTTTTTTTTTTTTATTTCTAGGAGAGAG